TCAAGTACTTTTTCTGCATCTACTGAGATGGTTGTGGTGACCTTGTCCCTTATTTTGTTTATATGATGTAGAATAAATTAATTTGTGGCTAGTAATTGCAGTGTGTACCTGTAATCCAACGAGGGAGTTTGGAGGCAGGAGGATGGAAAGTTTGAAGTCAACCTGGGCTACATAGTAAGTTCAAGGCCAACCTGAGCTGCATAGTAAGACCCTGACTCAAAAAACCAAGGGCTAAAACTAGGTACAATGCTACAATAGCAACTGAGTTCTGAGGTGCTGGAATCTTCCGGCCCTCTCGCCCAGAGGAATCAGGACCAAGATGTGAAGTAGTGGATTTGAAAGCCCCACCTGTGGGGGACCACGGCTACACTCAGTGGGGTGGGGCAGGAGAGCTTCCAATCAGACACCTCAGGCTGAAGAGCTAGCACTTTCTACCCTGTGCTGTATCTCAATATTGGGAACTGAGATTTCACAGATCAATATTGTGGGAACATCAGACATGCAGAGAGGGCTCTGACCAATACTGCTCACAAAGTAGATGACATGACAGCTGCACCGGTGGATGTTCGCCAGTGAGTTGACACAGGTGACATCAATGGTGAAAACACTGTTTCCTCTAGAAATATCTGTGAAAATGGCTGGCCACCTGATGGCTTTTCAGAACAAAAAAGAGCCTAGTGGGGCCGGGGGCCGGTGGCTCACACCGTAATCAATCCTAGTTACTTGAGAGGCTGAGATGGAGAGATCATGGTTTGAGGCCAGCCCAGGCAAATAGTTTGTGAGAACCTATCTCCAAAATAACCACAGAAACATAACTGGTGGTGTGGCCCATATGGTAGAGCACATTGCAAGGTCAAAGCTCAAACCCCAGGCTCACCAAAAAAAAAGAAAATGGCTGAGCTCCTGGCACAGGTTCTGGAAGTGGTCAATGCACACATGACAAGATATGGCCAGCTGGACCTATTTTCACAATCTGTTGTCCCCAGCTATGCATGTTGGGCCAGGTGACTTCTGGAAAGGAGATTTCTTCTGTAAAAGGTCTTTTGAAACTGACAGCTTTTCTGTTTTTGCGTTTTGTTGCTTAGCATCTTAAAGGAAGGTGGGCAATTGACAGAGAGATACACGAAGGAGGGATTTCTTAAAGCGGTTTCAAATGAGCTGCTTAGGACACCAGCATAGATGGGATTGAAAGAGGGTCACTACCAAGAGAGGAGAGCAGTATCACTAGGTGCCGGAGAGTTTCTGTGCAGATGAGTGGGACCAGACCTTTGGACAGGGTGCCAGCTGAGGAACCCACTGGCCTCTGCCGATTTTGGTCTCCCAGCTTCTTTCTATGGCATTACTTTCAAAAACGGCACTTTCTGCCCCCTTCTTGCATTGCCTGATGCGGAAAGTGGGCTTATGTGAACATGAGGACGTGGAGTGGTGGCCTCCTGAGGTAGGAGAGAAAGAAATGTTACTGCATTTTGTTAAAAAGTTAAATAAAACAGTTCTATTAAAAAACAAAAAAACAAAATAAAAACACCAAGGGCTGGGATATAGCTCAGTGGTTTGGTGCAGCCTAGGAAGTGCCAAGTCCCTGAGGCTGGTTCCCAACAACGTGAAAAGAAATTAATTTTTGGATATTAAATTAACCACGAATTCCTAGATACAAGGCATGAGACTTGAGCAGAGGACGTAATCTACTTTGTATATTGCTGAATTGAATTTGCTAATAATTGAGAAGTTTTGCTTTTTTTTTTGAACCCAGGGCCTTGCCATCCCTTGTTTTTATTTCATTTTTGAGATTCAGCCTCACTACCTTTGCCCAGGCCAGCCTCCTTGAGTTCCTCCTGCTGACGCCTCCCCCAGGATTTTAAGTGCCACCACACCCCACGTGCATCTATAATTTTTAAGGGACTGTATCTTTTCCTGTGATATCCTTTTTTTTTAGGTAATATTGAGAAGTGCTACCTGCTCTTCTAATGCTTTTCAGTTTTGAAATTTAGAACTTTTAAAAGTTAACATTTAAAAAAGAATTAACACCAACACTTCTCAACTCTTCCAAAGAAAATAAGGGCACACTTTCCTCTTGAATCTTTCCATGATATTAATATCAGTAAACCCTGATAGTAAAGGCAGAAATGATAAGAAACTACAAATCAATATGCCCTGTGAAGATGGATGCAAAAATTCTCAGTAAAATAACAGCACACTTCCAGGCATGGTGGCACATCCCTGTAATCCCAGCAGTTGGATCATGAATGAGTGAGTTTGAGGCCAGCCTGGAAACGCAGTGTCCCAAAACAAACCCAAAATAACAGCAAACTGACTAGAAGAGCATTAAAAGGATTATATAGGGCTGGAAGCGTGGCTCAAATGCCTTGCAAGTATGAGGTCCTGAGTTCAAACCCTAGTCTTGCCAAAAAATTGTTTAAAAATAGATTTATACAGCATGATCAAGTATAGAATACACAGGCAAAACACAGGATCCTTTCAATTAATGTGTTAAAAATGGACAAAATTCAATACTTGTTCATGATAAAGAGATTCAGAAAACTAGTAACTGGCAAACATTTCAACATGATAAATGGCATTTATGAAGATTCCACACCCAACACCAGGCACAATGGCAAAAAATTGAAAATTTGCATGCTAATCCAAAACTAAAGAAAAATTGAAAGGTTTCTCTTAAGGAAGAAGACAAGGATGCCTGTTTTACCATTGCCACCCAAAACTGTATTGGAAGTCTGACCAGAGAAACTAGATCAAAAAAAAAAAAAAAAAAAAGGAGAAAGGAAGGGAGGAGAAAAAGCAGAAAGCAAAGCTATGTCTACTCAGAGATGACATCCTATGCACAGAAAGTTTAAATACTCTATAAATAACTATTAGGGCTAAAAGATAAATTCAGCAAACTTTCAGGGTAGATCAATACACAAAATCGGGTATATTTCTATGCAGTAATATTGAATAATCGGAAAAGGAAGTTAATAAAATAATTTTATAACATCCAAAATAATAAAATACCTAGAAACAAAATGAAAGTCATCAAAATTAAAAAGCCTTTGTGCATCAAAGGACATTACTAAAAAAGTGAAAAGATAACCTATAAAGTAGAAGAAAATATTTTCAAATCATTGATCTGACAGGGGTCTACTATCCAAAATAAATAATTACTACATCTCAGCAAAAAAGACAACCCAATTTAAAAATGGGCAAAGGACTTGAATAAACACAAACAATTTACCTGATGTCCAAGAAGCACCAGAAAAGACAACCAGCACCATTAACCATTAGGGGAACACAAACCAAAAATCACCAGATACCATTTTACATCCACTAGGATGATGGATAACCAGGTGAGAAACCAAACACTTGTACATTGCCGGTGGGAATGTGAAATGAATGGCTCGACTTATTTTCCGCTTGGAAAATAGTGTGCTGTGTCCTCAAAAAGTTAAACACAGAATTACCACAGGACCCTTAAATTCTGCTGAAAGGTACATGCCCTATATAATTGAAAACAGGTATTCTGTTGCAAGAAAAAATCAGGCAAACTTTAAAAAAAATTTTTTTTGAGATAGGGTCTCACTATGTCACCCAGACTGGCTTTGAACTCACAATCCTCCTGCCTCAGTCTCCTGAATGCTGGCGTTACAGTACGCAGGACAACACCAAACCCAACCGTAGGCAAATTTAATTGAGTTTAATTCATGAGCCAGCCAGCACTCAGACCTGTTGAGGTCCCCAGCCTCCTGAGCTGGAAAAAAATGGGAGGAAGGTAGGCAGGTTGATGTTACAGGTGGTGGTTGCCTGATTGAAAAAGGGCTGAGCTGTACAATTGGCAGCCTGTGATTGGCTGAGACCCAGCCTTTTGTTACAAAGTATACTAAATTAGACTGCATTTCCTACCTGGGACTGAAGGCAGGGTCTGACCAAATTTACTTTTAACAGTTTATACGAACACTTAAGCACCCACGTTTTCGCAACAGAACTATTCACAACTGACAAAAGGCGGAAGCACCTAAAAGTCGAGGTACACACATATCATGATATTTTTTGGTCATCAAAAGCAGTGGAGTGCTGACAGGTTACAATGTGGGCGGGCCTTGCAACCATCATGAAGTGAAGGAGCCGGTTTCGTGCATTGAAATTCCCAGAACAGAAAACTCTGTTGAGACAGAAGACAGATAGGTGCTTGACTAGGGCAGTAGCTGCCTAATGCGTAGGGACGTTGCTTTGGGGTGGTGAAAATGTAGTCCTAGAGGCGGTTGGTTACACAGTATCGAGAAAGCACTCAACGTCACCGAATTCTTTAAAGTGGTTACTTGTATGCTATGTGGATTTCACCTCCAAAAAAAATAATGCGTAAAAAAAACCCCTATCCCTTTGTGAAATAGTATGATGATTTAGGATTTGCTACAAACTAATGTAGCAAAGGTGCGGGGGTGTGTGTGTGCGGGGTGGGGGGGGATATAAAAAGTTACCAAACCAAACAAAACCAAAACCTTTGACTGGCACAGGAAAAAAAGAAAAAGTGGAATGGGGACACAGGATTGGGAGCCACAGCGATGAGACCCGGAGCAGGCGAAGGTGGCGCCAATGGGCGGGTCGAAACCAGGGGCTGCTCAGGAGGGAGCGAGCCGGGTTCTGGTCCCGAGCCCTCGGGCTGCGCGGGGCTCCGGGTTCCCAACCTACGCCACGGCTTCCTCCTCGGTCTGGAAAGTCCCCCTTCCACCCCATCGGGCGCCCACCCCAGGTTCCCCGGGGTCCTCGCCCAGCCGCCCCCCCCCGTTCCCCCCACGCCCTGGCTCTCTCTGGCCGAGTGGGCTGCCAGGACCGCGGCTTAGAGGCGCACCTGGGGACGCCTGCAGGTGGCTGGCACGGGGACCCGGGGCGTGGGGGGTCTGAGAGCCCGGGGGCGGGGCGGCGAGGCCACACCCCGGAGGCGGCGTGCGTGGGGCTCCCACCGGTTCCCGCATCCGCGCAGTCGGGTTTGGGGCGCTCGGGCCAAAGCTGCCCCAGCCTGGGCCGGGGGAGGGGGTTCGCACCATGGCCGCCGCGCAGCCCAAGCTCCCCGCTGGGGCGGCCGCGGCTCGGCGCCTGGCCCGGGGCTGCTGGTCCGCGTTCTGGGACTACGAGACGCCCAAGGTGATCGTGGTGAGGAACCGGCGCCTGGGCGTCGTGTACCGCGCGGTGCAGCTGCTCATTCTGCTCTACTTCGTGTGGTGCGCGGGGCGTGGGGCGCGGGGACGGGACGGGATGGGGAGATCGGGGCGCGGGGCCTGGGGTCGGTCGGGACCCTGGTCCTCCCGGGTCGCCTCCGGAGCCGGCGCCGCCCTGCCCCGCAGGTACGTGTTCATCGTGCAGAAAAGCTACCAGGACAGCGAGACGGGCCCCGAGAGCTCCATCATCACCAAGGTGAAGGGGATCACCACGTCCGAGCACAAAGTGTGGGACGTGGAGGAATACGTGAAGCCCCCAGAGGTGCGGCGCGCCCCCGCCCCGCCCCAGGCCCGCGCCATGGTGGAATGAGGGCTAGCGAGCTGCCTGGCCCACAGCCCCCTCTTTCTGCGTCTAGGGGGGCAGCGTGTTCAGCATCATCACCAGGATCGAGGCCACCCCCTTCCAGACCATGGGAACCTGCCCGGAGGTGAGGCGGGTTGAGGGCGGCTGGGGAGGCCCGCGCCAACTGCAAAGGTCCATCACTGATCCAGCAGTCTTCGCCCTAGAGCATGAGGGTCCACGATGCCACCTGCCATTCGGATGACGACTGCGTGGCCGGGGAGCTGGACATGCTAGGCAATGGTCAGTGTGCATCCGGGGCCGTGGGGAGGGAGCAGAGTTCACCCCCCAGCAGCTTAGAGTGTCTGCTCCCGCAGGGCTTCGGACTGGGCGCTGTGTGCCCTATTACCATGGGGCCTCCAAAACCTGCGAGGTGTCCGCCTGGTGCCCAGTGGAGGATGGGGCCTCTGTCAGGTGTGCAGGCCTATCGAACCCCATTGTCCTGCTCCTTTCTACTCACTGACCCCCGAAACTGAGCCCAGATGGGCTGGGGGAGGAGAGAGGCAGCGGGTCAGAGGATAGAGGTTCCTCCTGGTGGGGGGCTTTTGGCCAGGGGAGACTAAACCCTTATCTGTGCCTCTGCAGCCAGTTTCTGGGTAAAATGGCCCCAAATTTCACCATCCTCATCAAGAACAGCATCCATTACCCCAAGTTCCAGTTCTCCAAGTAAGAGCCAGAGGGGGCAGGGTGCCTGGCCAGTGTGGGGGCTCCCGCTGGGAGTGAGGTGTTGGGTACAGGTCTCTGCTTTCTGTCACTCCTTAGGGGCAACATCGCAAGCCAGAAGGACGACTACCTGAAGCGCTGCACTTTTGACCAGGACTCTGACCCTTATTGTCCCATCTTCAGGCTGGGCTTCATTGTAGAGCAGGCAGGGGAGAACTTCACAGAGCTGGCACACAAGGTGCGGGTGAGAGTAGGTGGGACAGTGGGGCTGGATGCCAGTGTCTCCTGCCCAGGGACTTTTGGCCAGGCCTGGCCTGGTTTAGACAAGAGGACAGAAATGTGATCTGCCTGACCCACATGTGCATACTGCTCGATTACTAACACCTGGTCCCACGCTGGTGCTAGCCCATCATGACTCTAAAGCTGGACATTCACCCATACCCTGCACTCAAGAGGACCTCTTGTCTCTCTAGCCCTCCTCTCTCTGCTCCTTCTCTGCAGGGTGGTGTCATTGGGGTGGTCATCAACTGGGACTGTGACCTGGACCTGTCTGAATCAGAGTGCAACCCCAAGTATTCCTTCCGGAGGCTTGACCCCAAGCACGTTCCTGCCTCCTCAGGCTACAACTTCAGGTAACTTGTCCTCAGGATGCCTGGGTCCATGAGAGACAGCACTGCCTGTCCTGGCTGTTCTCCAGAAGTGGCCCTAAAGAGGGAGAGTGCAGGAACAGGGCACTTGAACTCTGCTACTTGTTCATCTCCTCTAGGTTTGCCAAGTATTACAATACAAATGGCACCACCACCCGCATGCTCATCAAAGCCTATGGGATTCGAATTGATGTCATCGTGCATGGACAGGTACATGCAGCCAAGAGGCTGGGGCCAGCTAGCCCTGTCTGCAATGGTGGCTCCACTCAGACCCAAGCTGGCCCAGCTCCATGTTCCTCGTTGCACCTCCTCCCTCCAGCCCCACTACGGCCCCAAGCAGCCTGCGAAGGTCTAAAGCAAGCCTGTTCTCCCCAGGCAGGGAAGTTCAGTCTCATCCCCACCATCATTAATCTGGCCACTGCTCTGACCTCCATTGGGGTGGTAAGAAACCCACTCGGGAGTCTGGGTGGGTGTGGGAAGGTTCTCCATTCCCTTACCCACTGATGTCTGCTGGCCTCAGGGCTCCTTCCTGTGTGACTGGATCTTGCTAACATTCATGAACAAAAACAAGGTCTACAGCCATAAGAAATTCGACAAGGTGTGTACACCAAGGCATCCCTCAAGTAGCTGGCCTGTGACCCTTGCCCTTGTTTTGGGCCAGGTCCCTCCCCTGCCCAGTCAGTACTCCCAGGACCAGCCACCCAACCCTCCATCAGGCCAGGAAGGCCGACCTCGGGACAAGGGGCAAAGTTAGGCCTGACTGATTGGCCCCCACGGCCTTGTCCCATCTCTGCCCCGTCTGAGCAGATGGTGGACATTCTCGATCAGCATATAGAACAAAGGCTTCCAGCCTCCGAACCTCCCCAACAGGACTTCACACCCACAAACCACAAAGGTTTGGCCCAACTCTGACCTCCCCATCCTTGCTGTGTTGCAGACCTGGGCCGGATAGGGCCCAGCAACAGAGCCTCTGCTGCCTTAGCAGCCCTGAGGAGGACCTACACACCACAATAGCCAAGTGTCTCCCTATAACTGAGTTAAGAGACTCCTGTGCAAGGGACCAGACCTTGCCCCAGGCCTGCCTTCCCACCCTCCCCTTTAGGGAAGCAGATTCCTGCAGCCTCCTCCTCCCCAGCTGACTCTGCACACCCACTACCCTCTCACACAGCCTCCAGGGGCCCCAAATCAGAACTGAGTTCTGAGGGTCTCCATCCTTGCTCTTGGGGCCATGGGGAAGCCCTCCCAATCATTTATAAAACTCTGCCCATGCCCTTCCCCTAGAAGTTACAGCATGCCCAGCGTTCAATAAACCTGTGACTGGAAGCCTTCTGGTCTTGTTCCTTGGGGAAAAGCTGTGAGCCCAGGAATACGGAATGGTTAAGCCCCTGTAGGTCAAAGCTGGGCTGCAGTGTCTTAGGTCTGGGTCACTTTTCTTCTGGGTACAGAGTACAGGGTGCACATCTAGCCAGGTCACAGCCACACATCTGCTAAGGGGACCAGGCCATGTTCAGAACCTCTGCAATGGGGGAGGGGACAGGGAACAGGGCAAGGACAAAGCCAGCAGTAACATCAGGGCTGGAGGGTAATTTGGTTACTTTGTTGGCTGTTAGGGCGCTGGTCAGGCAGGCCCTGCTGGGCATCCAGAGCTTGGCTCCCTGATAGGTGCAATGCCTATGTGTCAGAAGCAGAAGGCATTCCATCTCACAGGCCAGCACACTGTCTTAGGGTGGCCAAAGAGCTGGGAGTGGAAGGGACAATCTCTGTTGTTTGATTCACAGTCTGCATGTGGAATGCCATGTATGAGCTCCTGGTCTTCACACCTAGGGGTGTTCCCAGGTAGCTTGCAGGGGTACAGGCTCCCAACACTCATAAAGCCCTCCCTTCCTTGGGCATGGCCTCCACAGGTCACCAAACACCTGTGCCATGTTACGTGTTTGCTTCATGAGGTGTCCAGCTCTAGTTTTACAGAAACCAGTCTTTCCACTTGGGTCTCTGGCCACAGCTCAGGAACCAAGGCCAGAGGTTCAGGTTTCTTATTTTAGAGCCCCTAAGCTGGCCTCAGAGTGAGTCCACTGGCGCCTGTGGCTGTGCTGAGCCACCCTGCCCTACTATAGGGCAGTCTTGTTGGTTCCCCTCATCCTCATCTCTCTGGCTTTGCTTCCAGGAAACCTAGTTAGCCAGCTCCCTCTGCCTGCCCTCATCCACTAATTTGATTTGAACTCCACTCCAGAGGTCCCAGCACAGATAGGCTCAGTCCACATTCCAAGCAAGCAGGTCCGAGTGGTGTCCGGTTTCTTCCCACAGGCATCCGGAGCCTGATGGGCAGATGCTAGATATTAAGTCTTCCTCCAGAGACTGAGGCTCCCAGCACAATGGCACTCTAAAGAGATCTAGAGTGTAAAATTCAAATGAAAAAGAACAGCCCAATGATATTAGACAGCAAGAACAAATTTAAGGGGTCACAGTAGAGTCTCCTCCTTGTGAGGCTTATGTGGTTTCTGAATTTATGATTAGCAATTAATACTTGCCTGCTGCCCTGCTAAATTGGCCTGGGCCAGCAAGGAAGTGGACAGTGCTGCATAGCTGAAAGTGAGATACATAAATTCTCTTCTTTCCTGAGACTAGTGAAGAGCCCCAGTCGTCCAGCCAGATCAGTACCCTGTATGGAGTGGGAAGTGAAGACAGCCACACTCCACTGAGCTCATAGGCACCCACTCTTAGCAAGGGGGTGGAGATAAACCCCCACTTACAAGCCCTGGGGGGAGGGGCAGCCTCAGGGCCCCTCCCAGTCCATTGGGAGGTGGGTGGTTCCTGGGAGTCAAAGGCCCTGAGCGGATACTCTGAAGCTGACCCCCTGACTACAATGATTGCACTTCCTCTTCCTTCTCTCCATCACTCTTTCTCACCACTTAAGAGTCTTAAATCTTGCAAGTGAGGAGGTATTTTTCTAAAAGCCAGGAATTTAACACAGGAAAAAGTCCATGACATGCAACATAGGCCCTTGCTCCTGGCCCTCAGGCCAGGGTGAGCTGGGTCCAGATGTCCCTGCTGTAGTCTGGTGGACAGAGGGCAGCCGAGCAGGGAACAGGTAGGCAGATGCCCTACCTGCACCAGAACTTTGGGCCTCATTGTTAGGGGCACTGGGTAACAGACACTCCCCTCTAGACTGCTCTGAATACAAAGGGTCTGCAGATGTGAGAAAGAAAAGCCCACATTTAGTCTGGATTCCTGGAAAGTGGCTCAAATCCTGCTCCCATGAGGCTATGGGGAGGGCCAATTTCCCCATAGAACAAATGAGATTCCAGCCCCACCAAGGCCATGGAACCCACTTGACCCTGCATCTATATCTGCACTCTCCATCTCACCTCAGGCCCAACCTCAGGCTTAGAACAGGAGGCAAGACAAAGAACTGGGGTGGGTGGGGGCACCTTGGAAGGACTGTCTTGCCTCACCCAGCAGGGTACAAAAAGCAGCAAAGGCCTCAAAACATGTTTATTCAGCAGGAAAGATCCCGTCAGGACCCAGAGGCACTTCTTTTCTCATGATGTGCTTCAGAAGGCACTGTTGATGATGGAGCCAGTTCATGCCCCCTCTGAGCTTCCTGAGTGTTCTCTGTGGTCCACCCTCTGTTTCTGGACTGTGGTTATGAGTTTGCAAACTCAGGTAGTCAATGACATGGCCACTTGGAGCAGAGAGTGCCTGGTACAGATGCTAAGATGTTCTTGGCCTGGGCTTATTAAGGGCCAGACAGAGCACTTGTCTGTAGCAGCCACTCCAGGGTTTCCTGGAGGTAGGACATGCTGTAGTGCTGGGCAATGTTCCGGAAGATTCCAATCTGCTCCATGAAGATCTGTAGGAACAAAGAGATACAATGACACCTGGCTCCAGATAGAGAAGAGGTACAAATGACCTGTGTCCTATCAGGGAGAGCACACCTGAGTGTGGATGGTAAGGGCGAAGTCTCCTGCACAACTGCAGTACACAGGCATGTGGGTCTCTTTCACTCCTCGGCACTTCAGGCAGACCTGAAACAAGGGAGCAGCACTATTGGGATCAGCTCATCACCAGGCCGGGCCCTGCCCACGGTCCTAAGGCTGCTGAGAAAGGGTACATCTGTGGAGCCAAGAGCAAGCCTTGCTTCCCTCTGCACACATGTCAGGTCTCAGGGATGAAATGCAAGACTTTATCCAAACACTGCCAGTTCTTCCCCAGTACTGCCCACCTTGCTCTAGGTACCCCACCTCATATTCTAAGTCTTGGGGGCTTTCTGTGCCCAGGCCAGCTCAGTCCATCCCCTAATGGCTACCTGGGCATGTCCCTCAGGCTTCTGCTTAGATGGCCCTTGGCAAGACTGTCCTGGACACATGGGTGAGGACTAACTGCTGAGTGGTTCCCTTAGAAGACTTGGGACCTATGCATACTCCAGCTTCCTGGAGTGCCAGTTGTGCATCCAGAAAACTGTGGGCCCACTACACAGAGCTCACCAGGTCCTGCAGCGTGAAGGCCATCAGCTTCCTCTGCAAGGCTTCCACCAGGGCCAACTCAATGGCAGCTGAGTCATAGGCAGCCTGGCAGTTGGAGCAGAGCCACTGAGGCAGGATGGCCCCGTCCTGGGGAGCAGGGAGAGGAATGAGTGGTCAGTGTGAGCGGTGGCAACAACCCATCTGGGCAACAGCACAGTTGGCAGCATCTCCACTAGAGGCCCCAGAATAGGAAAGGATGGGCTAGAGAGGAATGCTGTACCAGGAGGACAGGTGATTGTATTCCACACAGCCCCAGCCTCCCACCTTGCTGACCTTTGCCAGGATAATGTCCTGGCATGTGACAGTAAAGTGGCTTGGAGTGTGTGTGTGTCTGCTTTTAATCCACAGAAGACCCAGTGGAGGCGGCAGCAGGTATAACCCGTGAGGGTGGACACAGCAGACCTGTAAGGCTGCCCCAACTGTCTCAGACACATGGAGGTTCTGATCATCAGAAAGGGCCCACCTGGGAGAAGGAGGAGTCTTTGCACAGGTCCAGATCTCGGCAGAAATTACAGCTGTGGCAGATCATCTCAGGGAGCACGTAGGAGCGGCAGGGGTCTCTGAACTGAGCCTCCTCGGAGAACTCACCAACATCCACCAGGCGGAGCAGGTCTCTGCTCAGCTTATTTACCTGATTTGTGATGTTTGTGTCCAGGGACAGCACCTGTGCAGACCACAGCCTGTTAGGAAGCAGTGCCCAGAGTCTCCCTGCTGCTCTGTCTGGGCCAGAACCCCTCTTTAAGCTCCAGTTCTTCAGTGTCATCTCATCCCTTCCTCAACCCCTTTACAAGTGTCTGGGGGAGAGCCATTTCTCTGTGGTGGGAGTTCTCCACTCACTGGTGAATTTACCAAACATTTAAGGAAAGAACAACACTGATTCTACACAATACCTTCCAGAAACCAAAGAGGAAAGGGACCCCAACTCATCCTAGGAGGCCAAAACCAGACAAGGGCACAAGGAAACCACAAACCATCATGACCACAGACATGAAAACCCTCAGCAAATGCTAGTAGCTGAACCCACCAATACACAAAAAAGAATATGTAATCTAGAAATATTTTCTCTCCTTTTTTGGTGGTACTGGGATTTGAACTCAGGGCCTTGTGCATGCTAGGCAGGCACTCTGCCACTTGAGCTATGCTTCCAACCAGTAATCCCAGAAATAGACCTTCACAGATAGGATCAATTAAGTTTTGGAAAAGACACAAAGATCTCTAAATGGAAAGTCTCTGGAATAACTGGATACCCTTAGTAGGAAGTTGAGTCTACAACATGCACACTGTAAAACAGTTGCAAAATGGACCACAGATTAAGGGTAGAACCCCAAATTATAAGACTTGGAGAAGAAAACAGGAGAAAATCTTTGTGTCCTTAAAGCAAAAACTCCTAAGATATGACACCAAAGACTCAACTCATAATATCTGATAAAGGAATTGTATCCAGAATATATAAGGAACTCTCAAAGTAAAAATACGTAAAGAATTTTCAACAATAAGAAAAACAAGGGCTAGAGGTAGAGCTCAGTAGTGTAGAGTACTTGCTCAGCTTGTGCAAAGTCCTTGCTGGATCCTTAAGAGCACAAACAACCCCTCCCCCAATTTTTAATAACAGGCAACAGATGTGGACAATCACCAAAGACAACGATAGTAAACAAGCCCATGCAAAACTGCTCACCACCATTACTCCTCAGGGAAATGCAAACCAAAGCCATGAAATTCCACTACATACATACCTACTTGCATAGCTCAAAATTTCAAAGTGAACAATACCAAGTCCTGGTGAGGACATGGAACGGGTGGAACTCTAGTCACACACTACTGTGAAATGCAGCCACTTAAGAAAAACAGTCTTTCACAGTCAAACATGTGAGAATTGCCAGTATGGTCTGGCAATTCTCCTGGGCTGTTACCCAAGAGAAAGGAAATTACACTCACACAAAAACCTATACAAGGGCTGGAAGTGTGGCTCAAGCAATAGAGTGTCTATCTAGCAAGTACAAGGCCCTGAGTTCAAACCCCAGTACTGGAAAAACAAAAACTATCCAAGAATGTGTATAATGTCTTTATTATTAACCACCAAAAAGTGAACACAACTCAGATGTCCCTCCACTGGAGAATGGTTCTTCCACATGACATTACTTAGCAATAGAGAAAGATGTTTTGACACACAAGCTGGACACATCCCAAGTGTATTTGGCGAAGCCCCAGAGCTACATAACAGGAGGTCACTCATGATATTCTGGGAGGGACAGAGGCAAGAGCAGTGGCTGCCAGGGCTGAGGTGGTGGAAGGAATGCTCTACCTTGGAGTTCTGGTAGAGGGTGAGGGCTATGTGCCTTGTCGGTCTCACAAATGCACAATTATACCTTAGTAAAAATAAGGCATTTAAAGATGAACAGAGGATCTAACACTTCTTCCCCGCGATCAGACTTGATATTTAGCATTTGGTCTCAGGGCGAAGCGCAGGGATGGACAGTAAGTACTTTGAGAGGGATGATACTGCCTGGCCCCTGCAAGTGTAATCCCCTCACTGGACTGGCCTGCCTTTCCCAGAAAGCAAGCTCTCATGTCACCTCATTGGTCTCAGAACTCAGCTGTAGCTCCTCATCCAGCTCATCAGTGAAATGACTCGAGAGCCCCCTCATCCGGCCTGCTGTGACCTTCACCAGCACAGCAGCTCTCCTACCCCAGGGCCTCTGCCTCTGTGCCTGTCCCTCAGAGATCTCCTCTTCATAGCACCATCTCTGATCTGACCTGCCCCTCCTGGTTTACTGTCTGCCCCATTGGGCTTAGGCTCCATGAGGGCAAGGCATCTCTTGTTTTGTCACACCTGAGCCCAAATGCTTCCACAGTGGCTGCATGTGGCAGGGCAATGGCAAATACTGGTGGAATGACTGAGGAACTCACATGTGGCCCTCACCTTGCACACATATTTGATGAATTCCAGAGCAGGGTTATTGAGCAGCAAGTGTGAACCGGGGAGGAAAGGAAACATCTCTGAGGGTTCAGTCGAGTTCCGAGAGCCTGTGACTTTCTTCTGAATCTTTTGAGTGATGGTGAAGAAGGTCTGAGTGAGCTCATTCGCCACATAATCTTGAGAGAAGGTGATCATTCCTGGGACGAGGTAAGGGTGCAGAGGGGATTCAGCCCACCCTTGTACTTGGGACCTCCCACCCATCTGCCTGGACCATCACAGGCGCACAACAGGATGAGGTTGTGGCATGCAGCAATGGCCTCTTGCAACAAGGGACTGCTCACCAGGAAGGGCTCCGGCTACCCCCTCAGTCTCCTGAGAGAACTGGCTGGCCCCTCTCCTCTTCACAGGCGTGCTGCCTGGGGCACTGCGCCTCAGCTCATCCTTCATGCTGTGGTACACAGCCACAATGTATGCTGCAGAGAGAGGCAGGCACAGGCTGCAGGCCCTGAGAGTTGTGGCTGGGAAGTGCTCCAAAATCTGTGCCTGACCAGACCGTCAGACAGATGCGACTGAAATGTGTTAGTGATGGCTTTATCTGCCCCCTAGATGAGCCTAAAGTCAGTTAGAGAAATGACAAAGGGAATTTACTGATGCCTAAGTTCATCCTTAGAGCAGTGCATAAATAGGGCAACCTCCATAAGTCTTTATGCTGGGCAGTGAGTCAAAGTGGCTCCCCACAACAGCAAAAGCTGATTGCCCTCTGAAAGGTCCTCTGAGTCCACACATCTGCAACACTTAGGAGACAACTTAAAAAGGTAAAGGAGTGACAGACAAAGATACAAGTAACCACACATGGAACTGCCTCCACTGTATAGGTGTGTCTATCTGCTGACAGTTTAACCTATCATGCTCACCATCAACTATTGTCTTAATAATGAATGGCTCTCAATTCCAAAGGGGTCTAATTTATGTGCCCATTTGCACAGCAACCTAGATGATCTGGTTGCAAACACCAAACCCTAAGACCCAGCCACAGCACAGGAGTTCCCACAGCAGAACTTGAGGCCGCAGAGGCTAGCTCGTGGGGTTGGCTTTGTTACTGTGTGTACATTCACATAAGTTCCCAGAGAATGTATGCCACACGCTACTGGAAACACATCTGGGGAGTAGAACTGGGAACACCCCTGTGGCAACCCCAGGGACAGCTGCTCCCCACCCATGGGCTTCCTAAGAGCCCTGGAGGGAAGACCGAGGAAACTCCCATTGTCCTGGGGTGAGGCCCTATGCTGGAGTGGGGAGAGAAGGCAGTGGTTCCACCCAGCCAGATTTTCACATCTCCCTCCCACACTATGAAGCCACAGCCACTTTCATTAACTATTCACTGACTGCCCCACCCCAGCTCTGAGCTCACCTGAAATAATCATGAGAAAGTAGCTTTGGCAGGAGGCTGCCTGTGGCAAAAACTGCAAAATGTTCCAGTTGTTTTCCAGTAAGTCCTCCACCTCTGATTCCTCCACACCATCCTCCTCCTCCTCTTCCTCCTCCTCCTCGTCATCCTGATCATCCTTGGCCCCCTTCCCTGTCTGGGAGTCCTGCTGTAACACAAAGATAATCCCTGCGTGCACTGGGGCAGCAACATGCCAGACACCAGGAAAGAGATCCCTTCAAGCCTGGGTCTCCCAAGTCCAAGTAAGTCCTGTCGGTGCAAGGACCAGTGCTCTGTGGGGTGTGCCTGGTGCGCTCAGGTGCTGGGGACTGTGATACCCTCTCAGGAAACACTTCAAAATTGTTCAACTCCCACCACCCAAGAGGGAGAATCAACCAGTTTCCTCATTTAAGACGCTCTTCCTCAGCTGGGTCCGGGGTTGTGCACATGTAGTCCCAGGACTCAGGAGGCTTAACAGGAGCTCTCTGGAGCCAGGAGCTCAGGGCCACTTAGTGGGCCCCATGTTAAAGGAAAGAGGAGGGTGAGAATTCTACACAGGCTCAGCTCTACTGCAGACATACCTTCAGGAGAGGACTATCTTCTGAGCACAGCAAACTCACCTCTACATGCAGACACCAACACCCTGCCACTGGCCCTGACCATGCTCCTGTCTACATTGCCTGCTCGGACTCCTGCACTCTCCTCAGTGTTGTATACACTGCCTGCACTTCCTTTCTTCCCACCTTCCTCAAGAACCCCTATGGTAAGGTCTGGTCTCTAACCCAACTCCAACCAGAACCGCTCCTGCCAAAGTTTCTGGAGCCACGGTGTCCAGAATGACCTCGGCCTCACCCGTCATCAGCCTCCTTCCTGAAGAGCATTCCCTGACTCCTGAGGCCCCAGCTTCCACCATGCCCCACTCACTGGTGGCTCCCTCTTAGTCCTTTGAAAACCTCACTGAAGACATGGGCCTCTGTTCTTTCAACCCTTCCTGCCTGTTCCCTGGGAGCTCTGGTATCATGTGACCACCCATGTCTTACAGATGCCATGTGACCTGCCAAATGTGACTCTCCTTCCCCACGTGGCACCCCCCCCAACTCACCCCAGGCACCGCTCCCACCTGGGCACCATCACATCTAGCCTGCTGGCCCCCAGCTCCATCCCCAAGTCTTCCCACTAATGCTGCTCATCTGGGGTCCCTCCGCTGCCCTGACACTGGCTGGGCTCTACCTGCTTTGGTCCTCCCATAGTGTGTTATTCTCCCATCCCCACTAATGTTGAATCCCACCCTCTGCAACAGCTGCCCACCTGCCTGCCTGTGCTGGACTCCTAGCTTCCCATCACTTGATGGAGCTGCTTGTGCTCTCAGGGTGCCTGCCATCCTGCTGGGAGCACCATGGCTGTTGCACACTTCCTTCTCCACTGCATGACTGTACCTCATGACCTCCTTAGCCTCCTCCTCCTAAGCTTTGCTAGCCTTTGCCCATGGCAAGCTCCTTGCCATTACAAGGGCTGATGCTATGCTGTGAGCTGACTGTGTGTTCCTAATCTTTCCCTCAAAGCACACAGTGTTTGCTGCTGCTAGCAGGAGGTTCTGAGCCCACAGTACCAGCTTCAGAGGTGAATGAGGCCCCAGTTGTTTCAGAGTACTGACCCAGCTCTTACCTGCCCACAGTGAATACTAGATGAAACTTTTCCTTTGATTCCACCATAGTTAGATGGATCCATCCAGAAAGGAATTCCCAGCATCGAGAGAAAGAAATTGTCAGGGAATGGAAGATCTCTTTAGAATGGATGCTGCGAAGAATCCAAAACGACACTGCTTAAGTGACATGACAGCTTCCTTTGTTCTCCACTTCCCTTCTTTTCCTTTACAGTACCTACTTGCCCTCCTTTTACTTACAAAGGAATTTAAAGTGGATGCAGACTGTCCTTCAGACTTCCTAGGATACTGAGAAGACTGCCTAGGTGGTCAGCTACCCGGAGGGAAACTGGATGCTAACGTGTGGGGTGGCCCAGAGGTCCACTGCTTCAACCTTGGGCCTCATTGCAGCACTGTCTACAAGTTTTCCTCCTTCTTACACTATCAGCCAAGCTGGCCTTCCTATGACTCTGCACAAAGGGGGAGAAATGAAGAATGGACAAAGGGAGGAGATCCTCAATAGCACTTTTCTTTTTTTTTTCAGCACTGGGGTTTGAACTCAGGGCTTTGCACTTGCTAGGCAGGTTCACTACTGCTTGAGCTACACATCCAGCCCTTTTTGTCTGGTGGCCATAGGGTCTTGCTTTTTGCCCAGGCTGGCCTGGACTACAATCTTCCTATTTTACGCTTCCCTCCGTAGCTGGGATGACAGGCATACACCACCACACTCAGCTATTGCTTGAGATGACATCACATGAACTGTTTGCCCAGGCCGGTCTTAAACCACAATCTTCCCAATCTCAGCCTCCCAAGTAGCTAGGATTATAGGCACCTGGCTAACTGTACTCTTCTTGAATGCAGCTGAGCAGCCCAAACCACTGCTCCTCCAAGAGGGCTGCTATATCCCCTACCTGCTCTCGGCTTGAGGGGGAAGGGCACCTGTTTCTCAGTGTGGTCTGGCCTGGCCACTTCAGCACCTTGACTACTGGAGCTGACCCACAGCACACCTAGACAGGAGGCCCGTCCTTCCCAGGGCCCAAGTGACTTTGTGAAACAGTGTTTTAGGTTAAGGCAGCCTTGTCAGCACACTGTGACAGTGACAGATGGAAAGCTCACCATGGACCTCTGGGTCCTGTGTGGACAGAGGCACAGCAGGTCTGCAGGAGAACACTTGGTCTTGTATTGTGTATACTGACTAGGAATGAGACCGTCTCACCTCTACCTCCCAAGATTATTAATATTCAGTAATAAGCCTTATGGGCCGGGTACCACCTTCTTTCTGTGGTGACTCAAAGTTGCTGTGACACTTGTATACAGCTAGATCAACCCAAATTCCTTGTGCCTCATCAGCAATCTCTCTGCACTTAGGGAACTGCTTCGCCCATGGTCCAGATGAATGAATGCACCCTGGGAGCACAAACTTCCATTATAAACCAGGGCTTCATCTGGTCATTACATTGGGCCTCTTGGCTACAAATTGGCTGGGCCCAAGGAGCCTTAGGAACATGGATGCAGGCAGGCATCACTTCCTGAAGCCAAAACTACAACACCCGGCTTCAACAGCTGAGAGTTCTGCATGACTGAACACTAGAACCCTAGTCCTCTTGGATGCTCATATCCATGTTTAAGAAAGGGCTACACACCAGCATGTTATTGAACTTTCTTACCAACAGCAGGAACTCCCTGAGTGTTCTAGACTCTGCAATGTACCTGACACATAAGTGGCCTGTGATGATTAGCCATGGTCACAGTAGCCACTCCTTCTCATGCTGGTGTTGCTTGGCCCTTAATATGTGCTCTGCTACTATTCAGGCTCTCCCATCTGGCCATGGGGACACCCCAGAACATCTCTACAAACCCACAGTGGCTGTTTTACCAGGATGCCCCCTTCATTCACCTGTTGGTGATGTATTTCACATAGGCAATAGCATCCTCAATCCGACGCTTTTTTGTGCAGAGGATGATGCGGTTAAAATTGGCATAGATGACTGATGATCCTAGGCGTTTGAACTCAGCCATAAGCCTGTAAAGCAAGTTCATAACCAATGGAGGAGGCGTTACAGTGCAAAATGACAACAGAGACACCAGGAGGAAGACTCTGATGATCCTGAAGTGGAAAAGTCTCCTAACTATACTTAGACCCTGGAGTAAGAAAAGTAGAGATCTAGAACCAGGCACAAATCTTGCCCAGGCTGGCCCTGAACTTTTGGACTCGGGAGATCCTCTTGCCTCAGTCTCTTGAGTAGCTGTGCAATAGGTGGCATCACCATGTCTTGACATGGCAGAAACACACCATAACAATAATAAAAAATGGAGGAAAAAATCGAATGTAGTTTTTAATAAGAGAAAACTAACATCAGAATGTCTGTCCTTGCTGAAGAAATATATTTAAAAATGTTAATAAGAGAAAAACCAACAGAACTACAGAAAAACAGGCAAAGGACATGAAGAGAAGGTTTGACTTCATTTCATAAAGTAAGAAGACACTGAGAGCATTTTCATCCTGCAAGAGCGGCAATGATCCCAGCCATACGTGTGAGGCACAAGGTGGGACAGTATTCTCAATCATTAGCCTTCACGGAAGGCTCTTTGGCAATACTGACCAAGTTGTCTGGTTATGATGGCTATTGGACCTGCAACAGTACTTTTTTTTTTTTTCTTTCATTTTTTTCCTTCTTTCTTTTGCACAACCAGAGTTTGAATTCAGGGCTTTGCACTAGGCAGGTGGCTCTACAAACTGAGCCACACCTCCAGCCCTTTATATTTTTCCAATAGGGCCTTGCATTTTTGCCCAGGCTGGTTTGAAATGCATTCCTTCTACTTATACTTTCTGTGTAGCTGGGATGACAGGTGAACCACCATGCTCAGCTTTCTTGATGGAGATAGGGTCTTGCAAACTTTTTTGCCTGGGTTGGTCTTGAACTGTGATCCTCCTGATTTCCATCTCCTGAGTAGCTAGAATTACAGGTGTGAGCCACTGTGCCAGCAGCAACAGTACTACTTGTATGGATAGAGGTGTATGACCATATTCAGAAAGCCATTCACCAATTCCTTATTTCTAAAAGCACAAGACTAGACACAGCCTGAGTGTCCATTAGTATGGTATACACACACAGCTTCCCAATGTGCATTCTTGTGGGGAGTGGATGATGAGAAGCCTGTGAGAATTTGACATAAGCACAATTGTGCTCAATGATCTGCAGGCTGAGTTTGGCACCGCCTTAGCTGCAGAAGAAATCAAGAGGCAAAATGCAGCACAGCTGCTTTTCCTAAGTTGCTTACTTCAGAGAAAGAAGTAGGAGTGCATGTTTCTCTTGTTACAATGTCACGCCCCTCCTGGAGAACTATTTCTCCTCCTCCTTGTTTACCACTGGATATAAAAGACTCACTGAAGGAGAATGCTTTGATGGGGGATTGATGGAAGGTTTTTTTGATGGGGGTTTTTTCTGATGGGTTGATTGATTGGTGGGCTACTTGTGAGAATGATGCTGCTGCTGAGTTATGCTAGAGATTAGAGGAAACATGGGACAGTGCAAGTCTGAGCAACAAGACTTTAAGAAAGCTAAACAGAGAACATGGGACAGTGTGAGTCTAAGGCTAGAGACTTTAAAGAATAGAAAAGAAGACTTTAGAAGTAAGGTTTTAAAGAATGGAAAAGAAGAAAGACTTTAGAAGGAAGGTTTTAAAGATAGAGAAAAGCACAGTAAAGAGAAGAGAAGTAAAAAAGCAACGAGGCTGTTGTGCATCTCCATCTGAGCACCCAGCACACCTGGCCCCAACTTTCTGCATGTTTGTCTTCTATTGTTTGTCCTTTCTGCATCTCCAGTCACTCCCAGTTAGGTTCAGTAGTGACAGAGCTCAAGGCAGCTTGTGAGACATTATGAACTAAAACAAACAAGTAAAGTGAACTACAACACACACAGTGCAAACAAGGGACACAACCATGATGCACTGCCCAGCCCTGTGGAAGGATGCACGTGTAGAGTCACACCAGCAGCTAAACTTGCCCTAGGCCCTTCCAGTTATTGTGTGCCATGCCCCTGGAGTTGGGATCCACACATCCCAGAGGCTCATAGCAGAGGTGAGGTACTCACTGCAAGAAAAGCTTTTTCATCATGCTGTGCAGTGTCCGGTGCAGGGCAGGGTCATGCAGCAGAGAGCCTGGTGACCGCAGCCAGCGGTAGAAGTGCATCACCTGGTTGTCAGCATAGATGTTGTGGTACTGTGTGATCTCCTTCACCCAGCTCACCACCATGCTCTTTAGGATCCTGAGAGAAAGGTACAGAAGGATGTTTTACTGCCTGGTACTGCTGTTGCCACCAAAGCTCATTTTCACCAACCCCAACTGCCACTATCCAAACTTTATCTCTGGCCCCACACTTTTCTCCATTTCACCCCATTATAATTCAGTAAGTCTCACTGGATGCCCATGCCAGGAAAGACGTGCAAGACAAGCTCTTGTCCTTCTAAAGAAGCACAGCAGAGGGCAGTGAGTATGTCACAGCACCTGTGATGGGAGTAAGCAGCAAAGGCTGCTGCCTGGCTTCACAACATCACCTGTGGCTTATGCTACTGGCCAGAGAGAACTCGGAGGCATCTTCCCCACCTTGTCTCACAGATGGGGCCTCCTACTTTCCGGCCATTTCCTTTAATGGACCATTCAGTCATTTGCCCGAGTGTATATTACTCATTGACACACATATGCTCTGATTCTGTATTACTGCCTCCTCTCACCTGGGACAGAGGGCTGCCTTCCTGACACACTGTACCTTTCTTACAGGACCTGTAGTAAGAATCTTTAGACTTATTTCCTGTTATGTGCTGAATTTGTGCCTTCCATGGGAATCACAGGGGCTGCCCCAGACATAGGGGGTACCCTGGGATGGGCTCCCAGCTCCAGAGTACTGCTTAGAAAGCATAAAGTGGGCATGGGTTAGACAGGAGTCACAGGATACCTGCCACTGTGAATAAGTTCCTCATGTGTAGCAAACTCTATATCCCTAGCCAGACCCCCTCATTTCCATTAGGCCAAGGATACCAGCTGCTCTGGCACTGGAACCAAAGTATGGGCAGAAGTTAAGGCCTCCCCATTGTCCCCTCTAAGAGGGCAGGCACCTGAAGGTGCTGGAGCAGAGAGCCGTCTCATCATAGCTGGCTGGGGCGCTGGCGGCCTGATTGCCCGTGACCATGTCCTCCAGGGAAGCTTGCTGGATCACGTCGAAACTGATGCCCATGCTGCCAGCCCCCTCCATGTCATTGATGTGGTGGGACTGGAGGATGGTGTTGACTGCCAGGTTCTGAACATCCAGCTCCACACACACTGCAGGAAGACACTGCTTGTACACATACCCCAGCCAGCACCACTAATAGGACACAGAGCTGCCCAGCAATGGTCAGATAGGAGCCACAGTGCATCTGTCACTGTGAGCAAAACGCACACTGTACGTTCCCATCTGGACCCCTTTCATTTCTGTTAGATCAGGAATACTAGCTGCTCTGGCAGTGGAACCCCAGTTGAGGTGGGGCTCTCAAAACTTCATCCTGCTAGAGAACTGGAACTTCAGTTGGGCCAACGACAGACTGTTACAACAGAACCTACCCAGGCCACAGACACAGTGGCTTCCCTGCATGAGTGCCCACTTTTCTCTCGAGTGATGGGTCTGTCATGTGGATCTGACTCCATCTGCCTCTCAGGGATGAACCACCAATGCCCTTTTCTGCCATGATACTACTCCCAGTATAGTCTCAGCAAGGTCAGGCACAACGTGTGTCCTCTGACCAGCATCTGGCCTGCTGGTTCTTGTCCCTCAAGTCTGCCAGGTCACTCAGCTTCCTGCCCTTTGGCTCTGGGACATCATCCTATAGCTTCAGCTTTTGAACAACATGGTTGAGTACTGAATCTCAGTCACTAAGAAAGTGTCACTAAATGGCAGAAGTGCCATCTCACCCTGGCCCCCCTCCACTTACCAGTGGAGTAACAGCCAGAATTGTTGATCTCCACAGTGGCTCGGTCATCAAACTCCATGATGAGGCGGTTGTCGTCAGCCTCTTTCCCACCCAGGTCGGGACGGGCAGTAGGGGAAAGCCAGAGCAGGTGGTTGTGGCGCTGGAGGTGGCGTGCAAAGAAGAGGTCAGAGCCAAAGGTGGAGATGTCTTCTGGCAGATTGCCGATGGGAATGTGGAAGTACCTGCACAGGGGCACAGGGTTAGTCCTGAGAAAGGCTGACCATCCAGGCACCGAGCCCTCAGGCTCACCTGCTCATCTCAAAGGCTTGTGACAGGCAAGTGTCCAGGTTAAGGTAACGTTGGATCATACGGCGGGCTCCATGGCGCTGCCAGTCCAGGACACCATAGCTGATCTTGTCAGCCACTCGGACAGGCACCAGTGGGAACTCCTCCAAGACAGGAATCTCACTGACCAGCTTCCGCAGATCCCAGCTGGACTGGACAGCGATGAGCGTGGGCCCCCGGCGCTCCTCCTAGATTTGGCAGAAGGCAGAAAGGGTCTGTTGGGCAAAGCCTCATAGAGGGGCTCCCACAGTGGGACCCCAACCTCTTTCACCTTGTAGGCAAGCAGGAAGCGCTGGATGGCTCTGCAGATGGTCTTCAGGTTGGTTTCAGCCCGAACTTCAAAGGTGTGTTTAGGGGGAGGCAGGAGCTCGGGGCCCACCTTCTCCAGCAGCAGGCTATGCTCTGCCGAGTACAGGGTACTGAGGTTGGGCATCTGGTTGCTGCGTACCTAGGCAAACGCTGGCTGTGTTAGCCCGACTGTACAGGATGAAGCAGGGAGGGCCTGCCCCTCCACTCCTACCTCCTACTTCAATCACGGGAGGAGTGTTCTCTCTCCCCAGATCCTGACAACCCATGAAGTCTCACACCCCCTATGCCCAGGGACTCACGGTGTCCAACACAAACACAGATGCTTTGTGCTGCGAGGGGATGAAGATTCCAAAGAGAGCCTTGTGGCCCTGCGAGTGGTGGTATAGGTAGATGTGGCGTATACTCCCTGCAGAAAGAAGCAAGCCTATCACCTGAGATGCTTGGGAAACAGGATGAGAGACAGAGTGGCTAGTCAGGCCATACCTGGTTCCAGGTAGCTGAATTGGGCCAGTGAACGCATCTCCAGGTGCTCAAGAGCAAAGGTTTCAGCTTCCCAACCTGAAAGGTGTCTCACCAGCTGTTTGTTGACTACACACACACAGCCAAGTTGCACAAGAGCACGAAACAACAATGGGACCTAAAGATTGGGCAGACAGGTGGGTGAGGGCTGACTTTTGGTTTACCCTGTGGCTGCATCCCTGAGCACAGCCCACCACCCATAGGCTGCCCTTAAGACCCGCCTTTCTGTAGGGGCAGAGTCCATATCCCCTGTGCCCATGTGGGCCTCTCTTTTCTGTCATCTGGGTCAGCAAGTGACTGAGAAGACAGTTACCTGGGTTTCATACACGCCCTCGATGTCTGGTGCCGAGAGTTCAGTGTTGATCTCATTGATATGTTCTTGGTACATGTCTTCTGGTACTGAATATTCATAGAGGTTGTAGACCATGTTGGAACGAGGAAGAGCCCGATTCACCTGGTGACAACGTGGTGATGAGCTAATCATGGTCTACATGGTGCACCATCGACAGAGTCCTAGGACTTCCAGTGCCCATGGAGGTCAGTGCACCCTTCCCAATGATTACAGCTAAAAGATCTGGACATTAACACGAGGTTTCTGAAAAGTATCTGAGTGCTCTCACACTGGGGCATCAGCATTAGTTTGGGAGAGGGGCTCCCAGTTTATTTTCCTCTGAGAGCTCGTAGGTTTAACCAGAGGGTGCAGGCAGCAAAGACTTGGAAAGAAGCCATGTTTTCTTGGTCAGAGGACTATAAGATAGCTACTGGGGGAGGCCTCGAGAGGAGAGCTGGATAGACAGTTCACGGATCTTGTGCAGGGACCGACATGAGTCCCAGACTCACTTCAAGCTGCATGTGCACAGGCAGGCCCACAGCAACTTGGCAAGAGCTTTGGGAGCTGAGCTGAAATTGGAAGCTTTGCACAAAGCAGACAAGACAGGATTTAAGGTCTAAAAGTAACTGGGTTGGTTGCCTCAACATTCTTGTAAGGATTTTTTTTTAATATCTAATGTCTCACAACATTAGATGTAAAATGCCTAGGATGCAATAAAGTTTCCTGACTTAACAACAACTGGGGAAATATGAATAATTCTTAAGGAAGAGAGCCAGCAGGTGTCAATCCTGGGATGATCCAGATGTTGGGATTAGCAAAGACTTTACAGCAGTTGTAGCTGAGCTCCACCATGTGCTAAATAGCCACACCTGAAATGAATGGGAACACAGAAGTTCTCGGTAGAGAAATGGAAACCATTACTGAAAAAAACAGCATCTGAGCCAGGTGTGGTGGCACAGGTTTATAATCCCAGGAGGTGCATAACCCAGGAGGCAGCGGGAGGCTGAGGCAGCAGGATTAAGAGTTTGAGGCCACTGCAGGCCTGTCTCAGAAAACAACAAATCACCACAGCATCTGAATTAAAAAGTTCTCTGGATAAGTTCAATAGTACAAGAAGGATAACAGAAAATGGTCAGAAAACTTGAAGACAAAACAATAGAAATTATCCAACCTGAAAAACAGAGAAAAAGCTTTTTACAACCAAGTAGTCACCCTCTACTCTTTCTTCCACTAAATGCATGGAGCAGCAGTGAGGGATCAGAAAAGAAGAGGTGGCCAGTGGAAATCAGAGGTTGCAGGAGGACCGATTAGCAATGAGTTCCCTGTCTTCCCCTCTGGATGAATCCCAAAAGGTTATACTACGTGAAAGAACTCAGACTCAAAAGGCTGGGTACTATATGATCCCATTAACAGGGCATTCTACAAAGGCAATTTATAGGGCCGGAGGACAGACTCCAAGGATGGAGGCAAAGAGAAGACAGAGCATGAGTGTTTGCGGTGATGGAACTGTTCTGCATCTTGAATCTATGTTCTGCATCTATGAACCCACCATCACTTACAAATTTCATCAAAAAGATGAAATAAACAAAAGAAAGCCTGGAATACTGAATACAAAACTGCTGGTAGTTACTTTCTCAGTAACTAACTGGAAAAAGGGAGAGGCAGGGATGGGAACGAAGAAAAGGGACGTTCAAACATTCTGCATGAATCTTGACATTGCCAGCAAGGGCTTTGTATGCACACAGTGCATATGTAGTTTAAGAAAAAGATTTTTTGACATATTCTCTGATACATATCAGCTAATATGAACAACACATGGCCAAGGCCACCCATGGTGGCTTTAACTGGAAATAGTCAACTGTTCACCAGCAGGTGAGCAGCAGCAGAAGCTGGACCACATGAAACCCTACAAACAGAAAGTCCCAGTACTGATTGGGATGGTTTGTACAATACCACTAAGTCAAGAAAGACAAAAGGCAAGGTGTATACAATGCAGCACTTACATTTAAGAAAGGCGATAGCTATATTGATTTGCTTATTTTTCCAGAAGAAACTAGGAGGATAAACCAGAAACTAAAAAAAAATAGCTGCCAATAATAGGTATATGGTAGTGAAGCAGGATTAAGCCTGGCGACGTCTACATCTATTTCATTTATTACAAAGTGTTAATTTATAGTCAAAATTAAATCAAATCAAAATGGAAAAAGTAAAACTCCCCCTAAAATTAACAACAGAAACAGGTAAACAGATTAGTAATTTGTTAATATAATACCATAAATACCCAGAGAGAACTCTCACTGTGCATTCTTAGAAGGATATATTCCAAGAGAAGAAGAAGTCAGGCCTGGAGGGCTCACACCTGTAATCCTAGCTACTTGGGAGGCTGAGATTGGGAGTATCAGTCTGGGCAAATAGTTTGAGACATCCCATTTCCAAAATAACCAGTGCAAAATGGACTAGAGGTATGACTCAAATGATACAACATCTGCTCTGCAAGTGCAAAACCCTGAGTTCAAACCCAGGTCCCACCAAAAAAAAAAAAAAAAAAAAAGAGAGAGAGAAAGTCAAATTAACTTAGCAGTTCTATTGTTTTTAGCAATATTGACTGGTATTGTCATTTCAAAACTTTTAGATATATAGATATAGTGCAGCAGAAAGTAGATATGTAAATATGTTAATAATTAAGATAACCAGATTTTTTTTTCAATAAAATGAAACTGGTATTAAAAAAAAAATCAAAGAAACTAAGAAAAAATTGTCATGGTGCTTCCAAATGATCAGTGTGACTGCATTTATTATTTACATACATGTTTCAGAGCTCTGTCTACTGAAGGGATCTGGATGACAACACCAGAGGTAACGGATACAAATGGGGATCCTTGGAAGAATGGCAAGTTCATGTCTATACAAGGAAGGTATGAGGAGAGTCAGGGATGCCTCAGTGACCAGAATGAAAGGGAGTGCTCAAAGACTGCTAGAGACACATCACAAAGGGTCCAGAGCCACCTGGAGGAACCCTGCTAGTCTAATATTGAATAACGTGAGTTCAGAAAGGTAACGACTGCCCAGAGTCTATAGAATGACTCATTGATATGAAGCTCTAGCAGGGTCAAACGCATCTAAAGCTATAGAAGTGCAGGCCTCAGACTGGTTGAACAGAGGAGCAGGCAAGTGAGTGAGCTCTGAGGAGGTAGGAATGTCTGTACCTAGGTAGTGGTGAGGGGGATATAGCAGGTGTACTTGTCGAAACTAATACAACTGTGCATTTAAAACCTGCACTCAACTGTAAATAAAATCTCATATACTTAATGTACGTCAGGGAAATTTTTGTATAATTGATTTTAAAACATATTCCCAAGTCCACAGTAATACTTTAAAAAGACAAAAAGTAAAAGGAAGAAAATCATTTAGCCAGATCTTACCTTGGAAGTTTAATAGTAAGTATTTAAGGAAGAAAGTACAGTTCACTTCTGGGGGTGTAGCTTAGTGGTAGAGTATCTACCTAGCATGCAAGGGGCCCTGGGTTCAATCCCAAGCACAGCAAAAACCAAAACAATCCGAAAACATAATTTACTTCTAATAGATGTGCACAAAGTTCTTCTTACATAGAAGGAGGGCAGGATTAGAGAACATGCATCCTGCAGCCCATAAGACCACTGGTCAGTAAGAATCGTCATGGCTGCCAATGGCATTTGGTGAGATGCTGAGGACAGGGTGTTTACAGTACCTATGTTCCTCTCCAAAGGGAAGGAGATAATCACAAAGGAAAAGAGGTCCTACAGTGAGGACATTCTACACGACCATGCATGCTGCCCTAAAGGAAGTTATGGGATCTCCTTAGTCATGTGCCTGCCCACTTTCTAATGCACACTATGTAGAATCTCCTAGCTGAATACAGCTTTGCTATCTCCAGAAAGACTCATTCTATAACTACAAGTATGCACCTCACTCAGGTGTTGCTTGCTATGCAGTTGACAGCATCCAGCAGAGAAATGCACACAGCACAGCCTCATAAACCAGCTTTGGGCTAAATTTGAGTTAACACGCTCAGTTAACTGGGGAGTGTGGACTGAGATACCACAGAAAAGCCTTTCTCAAAAACATTCTGCTAAAGTGAAGAATCTTAGCAAAAAGGATCACCTAACTGTATGGCTCCATTCTTATGAAATGTCCAGAATAGGCACATCTCAGATAGAAAAGTGGGTTACTGGTTGCACAATTTGTCAGGGAAGGACAGTGGTAGCTGAGGGGTATGAAGCTTTTTTTGTGGATGATGAAAATGTCTTAAAATCAACTGTGGCTCTAGTCTGTGACTTCACTAAAGCCATTAAATTGTACCCTTTAAGTAGACGGATTGTACAGTATGTAAATTTACATCCCAACAAAGCTATTAACAATAGTGCCTATGCAAACAGTTTGAAACCTCTAACAAAAATGTCCGCCTGATCCACCCCCTGCTCCACAGACATCACAGATGAGGACGGTGTGCCCAGCTCATCAGGACAGTGACACTAGCAGCCCTGTCCCTGGGCACTCATTGTAGCCCTGGCTGTGCTCAGTGCTCACAGACACTGTTTTAAGCAATTCTTACAAGGTTCTACTAAGGTACTTGGGAGGAGATGAGGCCACACAACTCACTGAGTCCTGTGTTTGCGAAGCATACAGTCTGACCAACTCTTTATATGGCTTCCCATTGCGTAGACAAGGTGACCAGCAACACCAGCAATCTTCCTACCTTGCGGTATGAAGGCCCCTCCTCCACTTTGGCCACCCGCTGGTTCACGTAGAACACTCGGGGGATGCTCAGCTTGATGCAGTGCAAGTCGCTACCGATGACAGCCCATAGTCTGAACAGGCCGGCCTGGCTGGTCTCACTGATCTGAGAAGAAATGCAGAACACACAGCTCATCACACTGTAAACAGGCCACTTCCCAGATGGCCTCCAGCCCCAACTCCACCACAGGTGCTCAGGATCCCTGTGATGAGCAAGAAGCCAAAGGCCTGTTTTATCCTCCATCCCAGGGCCAGCTGGACACTCCCTCCCTGTGCCCTCAGAAAGTCCTGCCCTCTAGGACCAAAGTCCACACCTGCACAATTTGCCATGGAAGGTCCAGAATGCTGCGGGCAGTTCTGCGCAAGAAGCTCCCCAGCCCTGTGGCAGGCCCCTCTCGGATGGCCCCGTGCCTTGACACACCCTCTGTCAACTGCAGACGTTGCCTCTTCCTGCGGGCCAGACGCTGTCGGGCCTGCAGCTGCCACTTCTTCTTGTGGAACCGGAGCCAGACTAGCCACTCTTCCTGGGACAGATGGTAACACAACCAGTGGTATGTGGATGAACAAGAACACCCCTCTCCGAGAGCCCACTTCCTAAACCCCAACAGCCTCTAGGTGCTCTATGATGACCAAGAATTTTCATAATCAACTTCCCCAGGGCCAGGACTTGCTTGCCTTGGGGTCCCTGCTGATGCAGCAGACCCTTGGGAGAGAGAGAGCACAGTAATGCCACGGCAACCTTCCTTATGGTCCCTCTGACCTCTCCCACTTCTCACCTGGGTGGTTCCGAGGGCAGGAGGCTGGCCTAAGATCTCTTGCCAGGGCACAGTCAGCTCAAGATCTTGAGATTCCTCTTGGCTCTCCCAAAGGACCCGCTTCCTCTTAGTAGCAACTGGGACTGCTGAGTGGGATAGCTTTGTGAGACCGAAGTCCTCCATGTCGGGAGCACCTGACTTCAGGCTGCCTTCTGGGGCCTGGGCCATCACAATCTAGAAGGACCCAAGCAAGCCTTATGATTCAGGATCTCATCCCTATAAATTCTACCTCTAGAAATTTAACACAGCAAATCACCTGTAATGAGATGTTAACTTACAGACTAACTTCTAATAATGAAAGGGTCAAACAGAAAAGTTCAGAATACAGCCACTCAAGTACCATCAACAAGTAAATGTCTGCACTTGCCATGATTACTATAGAATGCTCCTTTTTATAAGAAGTAAAATATAGCAAACAGCTAAAGCCCTCTTCTCCCTGTCTCTCTCCACACTGTTCTCAGAAGCAGCTTCTTTCTCCACATTGTTATTCTTTTACTATATCACTATAAACAGCTCTGCATACCATTAGATAAACAGTAACCTCTGGTACACATCCTACTGTAGCTTATATAACTAGGCCATGAATCTCTGAGACAGACACCTGCTGACACACAGTAGCATGGTATTTCATTTCAACTGTCATATAATATTCCATCATACAAATAAACCAGCTTACTATCCATTACTTTCCAGTTAAAGGATGGTTAATTCTCACTTTTTCAAAACTGTGATCAATGCCTATCTCTATACATGCTGTCTGAGCCACAGCCAGGGCCATCTTCACCTCTCAATAGTGATGGGCTCCATTTCCGCATTCCCACACTGGACATCATAAATTAAGTAGCAGTGTGACTGCTACTTAAACATTTCATGCTGCATTCACCCAAGTAATAGTGAAGCCCAGCATTTTCTAACACCTGTCAGGCAGCTCTGCAGTGGCCCAATGATTCCACTCCTTGGCGCTCAGGCCCTGTGTGACTCCCTAAAGCGTGGTAGGATGTAGTGACTTGCCTTTAGTGAACAGATTACACAAAGTGGTGGACTTTCTGAAATCAGTTAACATTTCTGCTTGCTGACACTATCCAAGGCTGGTTCTGAAGGTGCTGCCTGGCATGCCATGAACTTTTCTGAGTGCCTCATGGGGTGCTGAGCACAGGGACAGCCTCTAGATGACTGCCAGTGAGACGGAGTCCTGCCACCACTACAGGAGAGACCCCGGAAATAGTTCTGATGAACTATTTGCCTGGGATGGCTTCCAACTGTGATCCTTCTGATCTCTGTCTTTAGAGTAGATAGGATTATAGGTGTGAGCCACCAGGGCCCAGCTTTTGTTTACTTTCTATCATGACAATTTTTAAGCATATGTGGCAAATGTCTTACCAGTAACCTATACCCCAGACAACTCCCACATTCTCATCACCCAGCTACAAGCTCCAATAATTATCATCTTCCCTGCCATTCTTGTTTCAGATTACAGATTTAAATTTAAATTAATTAATCAATCTTTCCCTTTATGATATATTTCTTATGTGTGCTTTAGGAAGCCCTTCTACCCCAGCACAATAAAGACAGTCTCTTGTGTAAGAAAGGTTTAGTTTTCTTCTTCAATTGAGATCCTTATTGAGGGGAAATTATCCCTCTAGGTTTGACATGCCCATCAGCATTCTGGGGCAGGAGCCAACCAGGAGACACTGAGATACTGGCCCACAGTGGAGGCAAGAATATAAACAAAACTATACATCAGATCTCTGGGGTAACTGATGCTGAGGTGGTTAACATCTTCACCTGGGAACAGGGGCACCATTACAATAAACAACTGCCTTCCTAGAGATAGTTAAGCACCACTCCCCACCACTCTCCCCAACTTGTTGCTTATAGATAAAAGAAAAACGTATCAAGGGGTACCGGGACTTTGGTGGAGCATCTGTTCAAGTCGCTGTGTGCCCTGTAAGTAACCCTGAGTAAAGCTCACTCACTCTACAAATTGGATTTGACTTTGGGCTGTTGGCACAGTCCCAATTTGGAGGAAGACATTTCTTTTCCCTTTTCCCGGGAAATTCACGTTCATGCAGCATGTATTGAGTTTGGAATTTGTCTTCCTACTTGATGAGATGGCATCTTACTTTTTTTTTTGGTGGCACTGTAGCTTGAACTCAGGTCCTCACACTTGCTAGCCAGGCGCTCTACCACTTGAGCCACTCTGCCAGTGGCAGCTTACTTCTTAAAATATGAAGTCATGTTCCCCAGCACCATTTATTGAGCTGGCACTCCTTTTTCTCCCTAGGAGCCTGGTGTGGCGTGTCTGTGATATACCAAGGCACTTGGTTAGCTCTATTCTTTAAACTTGTGAAGATATAGCAGATGCCCCATTAAGATCAGCATCCCCTTAAAATTGCACTGGTTATTCTGACCCTTACTCTTACAGATTTTGGAATTAGGATGTCAAGTTCTAGCCAAAAGACTCACTGCAGATGTTTTAATAAGAATTACATGAGAGCAAAATGTACTAGAGATGCAGCTCAAGTGACATAGTGCCTGCTTTGCAAGTGTGAAGCCCTGAGTTCAAACTTCATTCCCACAAAAAAAAAAATACACAGAATTTTATTAATTTACAAAAAACTATAATATTTTAATACTGAGTCCTTCTATCCAAGAAGATGGTACTTAGGTGATTTTTTATGTCTTCAATAAAGCTGTAGAATTTTTTACACAAAAGTCTTACACATATTTTGTTATTATGGATTTTTCCCTTAGTATACTTTTAAATTATTTGTAGTGGAAAAGGTGTTGTCATTAAAGCAGAGTCTTGCTAAGTAGCCCAGGCAGGCCTCAAACTTGTGAACCTCCTTCCTCAGGCTCCCAGGTGTTGGGATTACAGACATGAGCTACCGTGCCTGGTTTTATAAATTTTTATATATTAATTTGTATCTGTGTTGCTGAAATGTCTTATTTTTGTTTCATAAAATGTCAAAACATTATCTGGCTTTCATTTTGTTTAGACAAATCACATTATCTGCAAACAATGAGTTCCATGTGTTCCTCTCAGTCCTTAATGTTAATTCTTTATGTTTATGCTGGTGAGGACCTCCAAATGTCTTGCAAAGAAGCTGTGCTCCCGGTACACATTTCTAGTCCCTCACTACAGTGTGAAGTGGAGGTCTGCTGCTGTGCAAACTCCCTGGTAAAATTCCTCTGAGAAACCATGTGGGTTTGGTGTCTGTTTCTTTTCAGATATGAGTCAATGTATCCTTTAGTAATTAATGTTCTGTTGGGGTCTTTCATTTCTTACATTGGTTCCCCTCAAAGTTTTCTAAGTGATAAGTGAGGGAATTCTTTCACTTTTTAAAAGCAGAACTGCATCTGTAATTATGTCCTTTTACATTAACATAAAAACAAAAGAACCTATTTTTAAAAAGACACTCCTATTTAAGTCTTTTCACAGAGAATCGTTTTTTTTTGGAGTCAGGGTCTCACTTTGTAGCCTAGACTGGCACAGGACTTTTGATCCTCCTGCCTCAGTCTTCACAGGGTCAGGATTATAGACGTGTACAACCATACCTGCGAAGGCTTTGGTTTTATGCTCATGTCACTCATCTCTGCACTTGTCTTTATAGCCTGCTTCCACTTCCTCTGTTAAGTTGTTCCCTGATGACTTCAGATGAAACTTTCAGTTACTGCTCTAATATATGTATTATACATGTGAACGTTCACACAAGTACTTTTTTTTTTTGGTGGTACTGGAGTTTGAAATCATGACCTTGCACCTGCTAGGTAAGTGCTCTACCAGTTGAGTCATGCCCCTAGACCTTTCTGCTTTAGTTATTTTTCAGGTAGGGTTTCTCTTTTTTTGCCTGGGTCAGTCTGGACTGCAACCCTCCCACTAACACCTCCTGCATAGCTGGGATGACAGACGGGCATGTGTCAGCTTTTTTGTTGGACTGGAGGTCTTGCTAACTTTTTGCCTGGACTTGCCTTGAACTTTGATCCTCCTGATCTCTGCCTCCTGAGTAGCTGGGATTGCAGGTGTGAGCCACTGTGCCCAGCCTCTTGATAGTGTTTGTACTGCCATTCAATTCTAAGCATTGTCTAATTTACTTTATGATTGCTTTGATCCATGAATTACTTATAAATGTTTTGTTTGGTTTTCAATTTTCAAACACAGTCTGCATGTAAATTATTTGGAATCTGTTGCAACTTACTCTGTGGTATATGTGCATATATATATGTATATGTATATACATGTATACAGATGTATATAGATGATCACTACTCTATATATTCTTGAAAACACTGTGTATTTTCTAACCATTGATATAAAATTTTGCTTGTTCACTAAATCTAAGTAATTACTAAGTCTAGTTAAGCATGCCATTCAAACCTTATATATTTTTTACTAACTTTCAGTCTGCTTAATCTACTAGTTGAGTGTTTATGATAAAATTTCCCAAATTGATTCAATGTCAATTTTTCTTGTAATTAGGTAAAATTTTACATTATTGAATTTGAGGCTACACTGTTAGACTTATGTATTCCTGGTGAATTGAGACTTCCAGTATTATTCAACAGTTGTCCTTATGCCTGCTAACATTGTTTTGGCTTAAAGATGGTTTTGTCTGGCATTAATACAGTTACATCAGATTTCTTTTCTATTTTTGCACTGCTGAGTGTGGAAGAGAGAGCCTCACTGATTTACACCTCAGTCCTAAATAATCTTTCGTTGGTTAACACTTACCTTTTACTTTTTCTATGACCTTATCTATTAGGTATAGCTCTTATAAATAAGATACGAGACGCTATCCGAGAATTTGGGTTTATTTGTTTTGTTTTAAAAATCATGCTAAGCCTCTATATACTGCTCTAGCTTACAGTTCACTTTCAATTTTTGGAAATTTGAAATTTTTGTTTTCTCTTTTGATTTTAGCTGTATCTTTCACTGCATAATCACCAGTGGGCCCAAGCATTTCTACAGGAAAGATTTTAATTCAGGTTAAGGAAACCAAGGCTGTGAAGCCCTGAGTTCAAACCCCACTACCACCAAAAAAAAAAAAAATGAAAACTGAGGGCTCAAGGCCCAGTGATCCAGTTAGATCACTGAATCTAATTCACCTGCCCCAAAGTATAAGATAGTTCTTCACCTTCCCCTGATGACTCACAATCTGTTTCCTGTTACACAGAGCAACACTTGAGAGCACTGAAGAGTAAAGTACTGAGGTATATGTTTTAAATGTGTTTTTTTTTTTTTTTGGGTGGTACTGGATTTGAACTCAGGGCCTTATGCTTGCTAGGCAGGTGCTCTACCACTTGAGCTACTCCACCATCCTGTGAGGTACATTTTTAGGAGAAAAAAAAAAAAAAAAACACTTTAGAGGTGTACAGGCAGTATCACAAAATTTTGGACAGCAGCTCTGGACCTCAGTACTCTATCAGTCCTGGGCCCAGCCCATTACCTGTCGCTTGCCTTCAAGGACAAATAGCTCACTGATCTTCTTCTGCTTGTAGACATCATTCTTCTCCAGCAATTTCCTGTGTAGCCAATCTGGGTGTTTGACACGTGGCACTGGGTTCCTTACCTGCAGGAGGATGGCACAGATCAGGGAGAGACCACTGTTGGATGCTGCTGGTCTTCACCAGCTTGCCACATTCACTTGCTCTCATGCTCACCTGTTGCAGAGCAGCAGGAATAGTGATGATCTTCTGGATGGCGCTCCCTAGTCGTTCGATGTAGTAGTCCCAATCCAGAATCTGTACATGCAGAAAACACGAGAAGCAATGGAACGACTCTTCACTAAGTTTTACTCCTTGTTGAACACTGCTAAATGCTTGTGTCCAATTTCATGATACAACGTGCCCATTTCAGAGGAGAAACCTGGCAGAATTTAAGGAGCCCCCAGGACCATGAGCTAGTGAGTGGTTGAGCCAGTACTTCAGCCTTATTCCATTCAAGAGAGTAGCTCAAGGGCTCCCCAACATCATCCTCCCAGTGCACCAGAGTGTTCTGTTTCCCCACCTACTACATATTCAGAAAGGAGGAAGTTAGGAGTGAAGTTCCAGACAAGACAGATGACCCAAGTCAGGTACATTCTGCTCTACTTTCTTTCCTAAACTTTTAATAGCACAAAAACAATTCGCACTCACTGTCCGTATATCAAAATCTTGAAGGGACGAGCTCTTTAGCCATTTCCGAAGAAAGTGCTTCCTCACTGTGGGCTCTGCTTGGAAAATGGCAAGTGGGATAGCCCTGGGTGAGGAAAAATCAAACTGAATCATGAACAATGAAAATCACCTGAAATCCCATTATAATTCATATCAATCAAATATACATATAAATTAGGATTTATAACCTATTTTGTAAGCTATACTTTAAAAACTATTACTTTGTACAAACTATATCCTATAGATGATGGTTACAACATTAAATGACTAAGTAGTATTCCTTCATATTAAAGGATGAGTCCTAGGGCTGGTGGAGTGGCTCAAATGATAGAGTACCTGTCTAGTGTAAGGCCAAGTTCAAACCCCAATAACTCCCCCCACCAAAATTTAAAAATTAAAAAAAAAAGGCAGAATTAAAAGACGATCCTTTCTCTGCTGCCACTCTGTCTGTTTTTAGTGCATAGCCTCCTCCACAAAGCTGTTTACAAATGTCTTTATGTACATAAAGTACATATGTACTTACATGTGTACAAGTAGACATTTCTAAAACATTGCTCAATGGGCAAAACACACAAGAGTTAAGATGCTTTCTAGAAAGAATGGCAGTTTTCATGCCACCAGTGAAGAAACTGGCAAGTTATTACAAACATAAACAAACTTGGAACACAACAAATGCCCATGCAGCTACTTTACTGCCAAGCTGCAGTGCTCTGCCACTGTCACCTCATCTGTGAGATAATGAAGATGGGTAATGGGCCAGCTGTGCACAGCCCTAACTTGGCTCCTTCTCACACAGAGTCAACACACTCCTTGTGCTGGTGTTTATTGGTCCCATGAATATCACTGTGCTGCCCCATTTAGATGTACCCATAAAGAAGGGGCAGCACCCACATTTTTTAGGTTTTGCATAGTTGGGGTTCTTGGCTCAATGTTATCTCAGGCTCTTGTGTGGTTGCTTGTGCTGCAGCTCAGTCCTCTGACCTCCTATATAGTGTTTCAATGCCTGAACCACATCTATTTCTGGACATTTACCCATTCCTGGTTGATGGACATCCATACTATTCTTAAATCTGACACCGAACACGATGCAATGATCATGTGAGGCCTTGCGAGGCGTGTGGTCAGAAGAGCTAGGTGGTGCCCACTGTGCACCCTCTACTCCCTCCCATACTGTCAGGCTCCCCTCCAAGGGATAGTGGTAGTCACGCTCTCGGCCTCATGGTGAGTGCCAGTCCACCTGTTCACCACTATTAGTGGCACTCTATTTCCAACCTGACAGACGCTGTTTAAGACTATGATTCCATGATTTCTGGAAGTCTACTAGTCTATCAGCCACAATACATAATTTGTGAATTGGTCATTCATAGCTGAGGCTCACTCTTTTCTCTGGGTTTCCTCATTGATAAGTTGGAACTCTCCTCTGTATATGAATGTTTTAGCTTTATACCAAATTTCTTCTCCTTTTGTTATGATTGGGAATTTTTCTTTACAGAAATACTTGTTTTTCCCCATAGGCCTCTCTAGGTATAACAAACCACCCAACACTTAGTGGACTAGGATAATAACCACATTCTGCTTATGAGTCTATAATCTGGGTTACTTGTGTAGTTGACCTCCTTGCAGGGTGGTAGCTGGTTCATGCCCTCTCAGCATCCATCATGCCACCCCAAGCAGCAAAAGGGCAAGTGCACAACCCTTCTGCCTCTGGTGACTGGAGTTTGGAAGTCTCTTCTACCAAGTTCCATTGGTCACAAGCCACCCACTCTCCAGGCAAAGGCAGAAGACACACCTCTCCACAAGAGGATCAAGGTCATGTTAGGAAGTATCATGGAGACATTGTAGAGGCCACATTGGCTCTACATAGACTTCTGATGGGACCATAGACTGCTTTGCCGCTACCATTGGCTAAGTTCCCCACTAAGCTGAGATAGCTTAGAGTTGTACTGAAGCACAACTCAGGCTCCAGAAGGCACAGTCCCAACCACAATTGTTTCAAACAGCTTGCACTGGACCTTTTTGCCATCACAGCCTCAGTGAACTCTAGATGATCCTGAGGCCATTCTCACTAAGGCCAGAGGGCAAACACTCCCTTGGTGTTCAGCAAAATGACTGGTTCCAACACAGTCCTTCATTTTCCATACTCCCTTTCAGGTCACTTTCTGAGAGATGCCCTCCTGTGCTGCCCCCTGGTGTTGCAATACTAGGCCCAATAAAAGGCTTCCCTTCAGTAGTCTTTCTTGCCTACTTTTGATCTTTAGCATTAGTGAAATGGACAATGGGCTGGTAGAGTGGCTCAGTGATAGAACACCTGACCAGCAAGTGTGAGGCCCTGAATTCAAACCCCAGTACTGCAAAAAGAAAGAAAGAAAGAAAGAAAGGGCCAAACTGGTAACATGAAGAAAGAATGGTGCAGCAGCAGCAACAGCAATAGCAATGACAGAGTGACTGAAGAGTTCCAGAATGGCCAGGGTAGAATAGCACGGAGTAGAGGCAGCAAAGATGAGGTACAGAAGAACAGAGAAGATAAGAGAGAGGGGAGAACCCAGGCTGAAGAAAAACAGAAAGTTGTGAAGAAGCAGAGAAGAGAAACTGCAGGCTCTGATCACTGGAAGACTTCCAGGGAGTTTACCAATCTTTAAGGGCCACGAGCTTTAGGCACTCAAACACTAGTTTTGCTTAGTTTTGAAACAACTACATAGCCTACGTTGACCTTAGTGCTCTGATTATAGGTGAATACCACCATGCCTGGATTTTTTTTTTTTTGAGACAGAGTCTAACTTTTCCAGGTCAACTTGGAACTCAATCCCCCAGCTGCAGCCCCCAAGTACTGAGTACTGGGATTACAGACGTACACTACCATGCCTGGCCTGTAGCATCCAATTTTTTAAGGAAGGCCTTACCTCTCAGTGACAGGGGACCCCTCAGGCTTGCGGGAGATGATGTAGCGGCAGCTCAGTCCCGCATCCCTGACCATCTGGTCTCCCAGGAACTCAGCTAGGCGCTTTGCTGTGCTGATGGATGTGGACTTCTGCTCCCCGTAATCTTCCAGCTTCCGAGACATGGAGCGGTTCTCTGAGATCAGCTCAAACAGCTCAGAATCGGGCATGTTAGCTGCCTAGAGAAAGAGGCGATGGGTGAAACACAGTGCAGATGCCAGGATGATCAAGTCTGAGCTCACCCATGCTACTTTGGTACTGTACATATCTCTGCCCTGATAAGGCGAAGGCAGGCTTTGTACCTCCAAAAGGCTCTTATTTCTTTATAGTAGTACCTTAAAAAAGGCACACAGACCAAGTTTTGGTGGCTCAAGCCTGGAATCCTAGCTACTTGGGAGGTTGAGATCAGGAGGACTGTGGTTTAAGGCCAGCCTGGGCAAAAAGTTTTCAAAACTCCCATCTACAAAATAACTAGAGCAAAATGGACTGGAGGTATGACTCAAGAAGTAGAGGACCTGCTTTGCAAGTGAGAAGTCCTGAGTTCAAACCCCAGTCTCCACCTCTACCCCCGAAAGAAAAGACACAGCCACATGGGGACTCCGTGGGAGGAACCAGCAAGATGAGAAGGGGAGTGATGCAAGAGGGTGCCTATGATTGAAGTTCATATATGTATGTATGAAAACAGTATAACTGTACTAAAAAGGGGGGGTAATTAAAGAGTAAAGAGGGCAAATTTAATTAAAGTACCTTATAGACATATATGGACATATCTCAACAAAACCCCTTTATACACTTAACATATGCTTAAAAAAAGAGGCACACACACAGGTGTGTTGGCACATGCCTGTAATCCCAGCACTTAGGAGGCTGAGGTCATCCGGGACTACATAGCGAGACCCTGTCTCAAATAAACCAAGGGCTAGGGGAGGTAGTTCAGTGGTACAGCATTTGTTTAGCATGCACAAGGCCCTGGGTTCCATCAATAGCTTTGCAAAACAAAAACAACATACACACAAAACATTAGCTTTTAACTTATTAAGCTGTGCACAAAACATCAAGAAATATGTATGAGAAATAAGCACCAAGACTTCAGAAGTAGGGGGAGTCACTGTGCATAAGACAGGAAGAACTGGTGATATCTGTCCTAAAGGACATGAAGTTCACATGACACTGGTCATGACAGTGGAACTCTGAAATCCATGTGCTGGTTGACAACAGTATACCACCTCAGTAGACAGAGGTGTGTGGAGCTGATGGAATGGTAAGTGGTCTGTGACACACAAAAACATACAAAGACACAGAGCCGCACAAAACAGTCCGATGTTTTGAGGAAGCAGAATTAAAGACAAGCCAGCACTTGTTTTAATTTTTTTGCAGTACTAAGGACAAATTATTTTAAAAAAATTATGTGTACACTTATAGGGCCTATGAAGACTTTTAAAAAAATCAAAGTTGATATTATCACTAGTAAATTTTCTTATGATTCTTTTCATTATGGTGCTATTTTAAAAACACCTCCTCTGGAGGTATCACTGGACACAGAAGCTAGGAGATCCTACTGTGTTGGTGCTAAGGAAGTCGGGTTTCATCAGACTGGCCTAAGTTCATCTTATACCTGGCTTTCCAAAAGCCCAAGAAACACAGATCCCTTTCCTGCTGGATGCTTTGTCCCTCAGAGCCAGCTGAGGAGGGATGTGAGCCCTTACCTTGCTGTACAGCACATCCAGCCAATAGTCAGCCACCTTAGCCACAGAGCCATACACCTCCTCTAGTGTGCTGCCCTTGAGGAAGGCCTCGAATACTGAGGACTGAAAGATTTTAATCAGCTGCAGCTCCCCACGGCGTTTGACCTCGAAGCCCTTTAGCTCGGCCAGGGATCCATCTTCATTGAATACAGCATATCTAGGAAAAAATGATAGACACTGCAATAAAACGGTGCTTTCTGTCTCATCTCTGCCTTCCTCCTTCCCTTTCTGACTCTCCTGTCACCTCTCAGACAGCAAGCAGCAGTCTACCCTTGGGTTGATGCTCTCAAAAGTAGAAATGAATTGGGGGGCAGAGGGGAAATGGCCCAAGTAATGCATACACATATAAGTAAATGTAAAAACAATAAAATAAAAATTAAAAAAAAAAGTAGAAATGACTTAAGAGCCTGCCACCTTCAGAACCAGAATATGTCAGGTGGTGGAGAGAGCTGGTGCATCCCTGTCCCATTGAGTCCATGAAACAAACAAAAAACCCCCACCTGAGTCTGTTCCCATCCTGGCTCTAGGTCCATTTTCCCAATTGGGTTGTTAAGTCTAATCTACCTCAAGGCACAAAGGCCCTAAGATTCCTACCTCTTCTTCAGCTTCTTGCCTTCTTCCTTGGAGGCTGGAAGGATCATAGCAAGGTAGGGCCCATCAACCTCAAAAAAGATGCTGTTCTCTGAGCGGGTGATATAGGTGAGTGAAGAAGGTTCTGCCAGCTCCTGGTACTGGTCATTGGTGAAGCCTTCCTGAGAACCAAAAATGAGAAGGGCAGCTTCACTTCTAAGGCCTCACGCCTGGAAACTACCTCATGTACCTCAGGGTGTAGATGGGCAAACAAATTGGGGCTCTTCCACATAACAGACACAATTGGCAGCAGAAAGGAAGATGTGACACAGGCAACAACCTTTTAAATCTCAAGTGCACTTTGCCAAATACAGGTCACATCCTTTATGCTGCCATGTGCATGTAACTTGAGAAAGGCAAAATCACAGCACAAAAAACACCCTGGGGGTTCCCGGGGTTTCGGTGAGGAAAGGGGCTTCCTGGAGATCTGCTTCACTTAGGGCCAGAAAAGGAAAAACATAAGATGAGTCTATAGTGTCTTGTAGTACCAGGAAGCAAGAAACTGCTCCAAAAACAAGTGAAAAAACAGATACAGGGTGACCCAAGAACACATGGCAAATGTGGAAGAACCCAGGGGCCAATAACAAACAAACTGAATAAACATTTGAGGATCATTTTGGGTTATAACCCCAGGTATAATGAATGTCCACAAATTCATGCTGCTGTAAGTAAGTCAATGAATAAGCAGAAGAATAAATAAAATTCCAATAAGTAGAAGGAATAGGGGAAATGTGAACTGCCACGGAATAAACAAGCATAGGAAAACCCTTGGTGACAGTGATACAGCTGAGACCCACCAATAACTACTAAAGTCAGTGCACAAAAGTTTAAAGAGCATCTCAAAACATTTCCTCCATAACACTTGCTAATTACCGTGATGGCTCTAACATTTGCTCAGCTGCTCTTTAATGTTCATTCCACCAGGAGAGGCAGCTTGATCCTCTCCCCTTGGGTATTATTACTAAGTAAAGAACAGTATGTGCACAGAGATATATGGGACCTCACCCCAGGGATTCCTGGCAGATGTGGACAGCACCTTCCCCTGGTGACAAAGCCAATATCCCTACAAATGAGGATGCGATGGTGGGGCATCACTCCCACAGTGGTCCTCCAAGAAAATCCAAAAAACAACAGACAGCCCCAGATCCAGGGCAGTCAACAAACTTTCTGACCAGGAAAGACTAAGGTACTTTCCCAGGCTGGAGGAGACACCCTGTGGGTTCCTGGCAGAGGAAGGAGAGCAGGGAGGAAAGTGAAAACTGGGGAATCCGAATGAAGTGGTTTAGTTACAGGGTACACCAACATGCATTTCTTAGTTTTGATGATTGTACTGCAGTTCGTGTAGATGTTAACCTTAGCAGAAACAGGCTGGAGAGTATAAAGAAATTCTCTGTACTATTTTTGTGATTTTTCTGTAAGTTTAAAATTATCAAAAAATGAAAAGTAAATGGAGGAACAATGTGGGTGCTGTGCTGAAGAACTCACTCAGTAGTCCATCCACAAACACTTAGGCTGTAGGAAAACCACCTCTGAATGGTTAAGGAAATTAGGAAGAGCAGAAAGAGCCGGGGACATCACCCACTAGAGTCCAGTGTCCACACTAAAGCCAGGCTAATGATCGGGATGAGATGCACCCCCTCACAAGAGACTCAAACTCACCTTGACCATGATGTTCAACATGGCCCCAGGGTAAGAGATGGTCACCTTGGGCTTTTTTGCATTGGTTGTCTTGATAACAAAATTTTCTGGGAAGCTATTGGGCAGGACACACCATATTCCATCTGTATCCAGTTCTAAGGGCCTCCTTCAGAGAAAAAGAGGAGAAGGTTGTACAGACACAGGGCCATGGCCCAGTGTCCTCAAGAACCAAGTGTTGAATTCCTCAAACACGATGACGTCAAACCCAGTTCCATCTTCCCAGTGTGAGATCTTCCTGCCTTTATTCCTTCCCACGACTGCCTTCCACTGCCTCTACTTAGTGAGCCCCAGGCTACACTCACCCAATCTGTTCAATCAACTCCCGCGCCTGGGTGATGATGTTGGCTCCAGTGAAGCAAACAATGCCAGCCATCTCCATAGAGTACCAACGAGCCCTGGAAAGGATAACCATAGCCTGTGGTGGGTGGGGAAAATGCAAGGGTTCCCCCACAGGGAATCAGAGGAGGGATCCCTTGGGAGGGGCGATAAAAAGTGGTCAAAGATACTTGAAGCAGGACAGAACTAAGAAGAGTTGGACTTGCCCTGAGAACACTTTTCTGTCCCCACTTCAGGGTGCCCAGTGTGGCTCAGGAAAGTTTAGCCAATGCATTTCCAGCTGCTCATCAGATACCACACAGCATTGGAGAACAGACACCCTGAAGATAGCAAAGGACTGTGTGTTGTTCCAAGCATGTACAATGTTCAGGGTGGTGGTCACAACTGTATGTTTTTAAGTTCTGGAGGGGTCAGTGTACTGCCACACATAGCTCAGGAGTTTAGCCTCAGCAAGACTCTCAACAGCCTCCCATTCCTTACACATACATTTACTGCAGCACCTACCCCTTGCGCATGACATAGCCATAGAACGAGTTCAGGATGCACTTGTGAGCCAGCTGCAGTGAGTCATACAGGACTTCCATGTTCCTACAACGCTTTACCTCAGCAGCATCGCCTGCCTCCACGGCTGCTGAGAGCTTCTTTTTCCACACCTGGAACCACACAGAGAAGCCTGAGAAACACATAGGTTTTCCCATTTCAGTCTATAATGTCAACAGCCCAAGTTTTCAATATTTTCAGAAATTTCAAATATGTAGAGAACTTGGAAAAAAAATAGTACAATGAAGAACATACACTCCCTTAGTATCTCTTTATTCAATGGACATTTATTAAATGTTCATATGCCAAAAGTTATGCTATAGAGATGCCAAAATGAATAAAGTTCCTTTTCCTGCCCTTAAGGAGCTCACATTCTAGTAAAGGAGACTTCAAAAAAATGAAACAATACAGTACAGTAAGTGATATAATAGAGGTAGGTTGTAATTACAGTGGTGCCACAAGAGGAAGTTAGGTGATTCTCCTTGAATGGAACAAGCAAGATTTCACAGAGGAGATACCTATGCTAGCTTGCAAGAATGCATGGAATTTTCCAGGTGGAGAAGGATGCCTGGGGCATTTGCTGTAAAGAATACAGCACTCACCAGGGTGGGGAGGCCTGGCTGTATGGGCATTCATCGGTACACAGGAGAGGAACTTACACCAATCTAAGGACTTTGATTGTCTCCAGAAAGCTCATAAAGTCACTGAATGGTATTAAGCAGAGAGTAACACTGTCTGCACTCTTAATATCTTGCTGCATCTCCTTTATTCCATTCCTCTTCCATGTGTCTGTCTGTCTCTTAGCAGGTCTACTTGAAAACTGTCACATCCCAAAGCCTCCAGACATTTATGCACACTGTCTAGGAACCAGGATATTCTCCTCCATTACCATGAGACTGCTACTACAACCAGGAATTCCAACATGGGTATGCCATTATTAAAGTATATATTCAAGCTTTTGCAACTGTCCCCAAACCATTCCCTGAATCTAGGAACCAGTCAAAATGACATGTTGGGTTTGACCTTCCATTAACCTACAACTTCCCCACGTGGGGCAGATGTTCCAAAAGGAATTGTGAAGCCAGGCACCAGCGGCTCACACCTGTAATCTTAGCTATTCAGGAGGCAAAGATCAGGAGGATTGTGGTTCAAAGCCACCCCGGGCAAACAGTTTGTGAGACCCTATCTCAAAAAAAAAAATTACAAAAAAGGGGTGGCAGAGTGCATTAAGGTGTAGGCCCTGAGTTGAAAAATCCAGTACTGTGAGAAAAAAAACCCCACAAAACCACACACGCATCATACTTTCATCTTGTGGACAAAGGACTCAGAGAAAACAGCCACTTTCATCTTGTAGACAAAGGACTCAGAGAAAACAGCCTCTCTCAGCAGCACTCCACCTAGACACCTAGGACTTTGCACTACTTCAACCCCCCAGAACAAAATGCAGACCTGAAAACAAACTGAAGAAACAAAAATCAATATCCAAAGATAAGTAGCAGGGATCTTCCTGCTCCCAGCCCGAGTTCTGCTATCCAGCTGACTTCCAGCTTGTGCACTTGACAAGGTAAGCAAGTACAAGCAACAGAACTGAGACAGCAGGGCTCACACTATCTGAAGCCACATTTTGTGACAGCAATCTACCAGCCAATGCATCTCTAGCTACTCATCACATACCACTTAGCACTGGAGGAAAGGCACCCTGAAGCTAGCAAAGGACTGTGTGCTGTTCACAGCATGTGTAATGTCCAGAATGGTGGTCACACTGTGTGTTTATCAAAATTCACAGAACTGTGGACCTGACAGGATGAAATTTGCCCTGAATACTGCTGAGGTAGGCTCAGTGGAAGGTGGACACTGGGAGCCAGATGGGGAAAGGATCTGACTCATTCCCACCTGAGTGCTGAGTGGGCAGCACTTCTCCCCAGCTTGCAAAGTGTGACACTCTTGCTGTGGGCAAATGCTGGGCATTTTCCTTGTCTCAGAAGGAAATGCTCCACTTCTACTCTCCCTGGCTGATGTGTTTCTGGTCTGCACACTTGTGGGACAGGACAGAATTTATATAAGACCAGAAGCCTTCGGATCAAATGCTGGGCCAGGTTATATATAGGATCCCAGCAATACCTACTAAGAAGTCTGGGGCCCACACTGACATGTGGTCCTCAAGTTCACGGCTGCATCCTAGGACAAGAGCAAAAAGGGAGATGGGGCCTCCAGGTGTGGTGAAGCCATATTGGCAGGGCTCTATCTGCCATGTGTCAGGGAGGATGGGTGGCTATGGTAGAAGGAGACAGAGTTGAGTTGAGGAAGAATGGAAAGGTATTATGTCATGATGACAAGCCTTAGCTAACACTTACTATGTGCTAGAGTAGATATGCACATCTCACACTATAAGAAGAGAAAGTTAATAACAATGATAAGGCATGACAATGAGCTCTGCACACTAGAGCAGTGCAGGGATCTCCCTTGGGGATCACTAGGCCTAGTAGCGAGGGCAGGTCTCTCAGAAGAAATCAGATATTTTGGGCTGGAGGCATAGCTCAATCAGTAGAGCACCTGCCTAGCAAGTACAAACCCCCTCCTTCTCAAGTACCACCAAAAAAGTAAATAAATAAAATAAAACAACAACAAAAAACAGAGGGACCATAATATACACACGGTTTGGGGGCTGGAAGAGTGGCTCAAGTGGTAGAGCCACTTTACCTCTCTCTCACTACGGGATTTGAACTCAGGGCAGATGCGCTACCATCTGAGCCATATCCCCAGTCCTTTTATTGTCTTTCCTGATAGGGTCTCATGTTTTTTGCCTGGGGCTAGCCTCACATCAGGATCTTCCTACCTATAACCTCCGAAACAGCTGCGACTCTAGACACAGACCACCACACCTGGTTTGTTGGTCAAGATGGGGGTCATGCTGACTCCTTGCCTGGGATGGCTGCAAACTGTAGTTGCTTTCTGAGTAGCTGGCATTACAGAAGTGAGCCACCATGCCTGGCCCTACATTTCTTAATAGGAAGAGATAAACTAAGGTATTGCATTTCTCTTGTTCTTACCAGATGACATATGTCAGTGAAAATACTCCCTTAATTCCTACAAATCAGAGGTCAGTAAAGCAAAGGGCCAGATGGAGAATTCCATGTGTATGAAGGCTGTAGAATTTGTTGGAACTTCTCACCTCCCACTGTACTAAGCTAGCAACCAACCCATGAATGTAGCTGGGTTCCAATAAAACTTTATTTATAAGCAGAGCTAGTGTAGTTTGCAGACTTCTGCTCTAAATAATTACCTCAGAAACAATTGTTTGGAATGTCCTGAAGCCACAGGCCTGCATCCTTTCTGGCCATTAAGACTTTAAACTTAAAGGCAACTGTGAATTTAATATATGAGTGTATATGCATCTCAGAGAATCCAAACCAATACACACCAGCTGGGGGCAAAGGACAGCTAGACAGGGACAAGCAATGACCCTCATGTGAGAAACAAGTGTTCCACCCGACTCTCAAGCCCCTCATACCCACCTTGTGCAACCCTTTGAACTCGTAGCGCCTGTCCCGGAAGGCACGCACCGTGTCCACATAGAAGGAGTTTTCTCGCTGGCAGATGGTGGTGAGGCGCTCCTCCACCTTGGTGACATGGATCTTCTTGTAGGCTTTTCGGCAGTAATCTAAGACAATTTAGAAGGTCAGGAATGAGTGAGCTGGGGCACAGGGAAGCTAAGGAGCACAGTTTTCCAAATTAAGATAAAGGAATGGAAAACCAGGTAGGCTGCTAGTTTATCACAGCAGAAAAGGACAGCCCCTGGGTACCAACAGCCAAAGATACCAAGACCAGGCAGAAATTTCAGTTTCTAACCACTTGTGAAGGAGAAACAGAGAAAGAACCCCACTATAGATCGCTGGATCTACAGTCCTTGCAGCTGCGTTGTTAAAATTAGGTGGTTACAGAATAAAAATAATTAACATCCTACTTAATCCCCTTACAGAATGAATAGTATACCTATTTATTCCCTTATCATTATGAGGTATAATTATAACAAACCCCAGCTGCTTATGACAGACTTAAAATTCCTAATTGCTTACTTATCTGCCAGTCACATAGCACTAATAATCGTTGCTATTTTAATTCAAACACCACAAAGTTACATAGGTGACACAGCACTAACAACAGCCCACGGTCATACGTCTTCCATACTATTCTGCCTACCAAACTCTAATTACGAATGAATTCACGGCTGAACTATACTTCTAGCTCAAAGACTACAAACAGTTTTACCATCAACAGCTATAGGATGACTTATAGGGAGCTAGCTAACCTTAGTCTTCTGCCAACAATTACCTTACCCGGGGATGATAATTATCTCATCCTTCTCATTATCCGACCTAACTATAATTTCACCTGGCCTGAACATGCTTATTAAAGCCCTTTATATACTATGTTAACTACAACTCAATGAGGAAAATTCACTTATCATATAAACAACATTAACTCATCGTTCACATGAGAAAACACTTTGATACTTTCACACCTATTACCCCATTACTGCTATCCTTAAACCCAATAATTATCCTCAGTATAATATTCTGTAAATGTAGTATAACAAAAACATTAGATTGTTAATCTACTGACAGAAAACTAAATTTTCTTATTTACCAAGAAAGAATGCAAGAACTGCTATCTCATGCATCTACATATAAAATACGGCTTAGCTGGGTGCTGGTGACTCACACCATGGAATAACAGGCAGAGATCAGGAGGATCGTTGTTCAAAGCCAGCCCCAGGGAAATAATTTGTGAGACTCTATCTTTACAAAACCCACCACAAAAAAAGGTCTGGAAGGGTAAGAGAGCCTGCCTAATAAGCATGAGGCCCTGAGTTCAAACTCTAGTACCCCACCAACCAACAAAAGTATGGCTTTCTTAGCTTTTAAAGGATAGGAGTTATCCATTGGACTTATGAATCAAAACCTGGTGCAACTACAAATAAAATAGATCTTTTATCTTCCTCTGTAACTACTACACTTGTTATTCTACTTTTTCCAATTATAATATCCATAACAAACATTTATGAAAGTACCTACTATCCTCACACTTTACAGTGATCTACAACAACTCTGCTGCAATGCCCACATCTCTGTTTAGAGCATAAGCTGCAGTTTGCAAAGCTCCAGCCTCACCAAGCACTCACCTGCCAGTCTCCGCTTCTCATATTTAGCCTGCTCCTCACGAGATAGCTCATGAAAGGCCCGTGCCGGCCCCTCAGGAAACAAGGGAGGGAACTTCTCTGATTCCAGCTGGTGCTGGATCCGATGGTATTCACTGCGACTGGCTGGCACTGTGAAGGAGGTAATAGGACTGGTTCCCAAGGAGAAGACCAGAGTCTGGACCCACCCTGCCCCACCAAGCACCCTCCAGCAGCCAGACACTCACTAAATTCACCCCTCCACTGCCAAGCCATCTTCCTCTGACAGTTTGCTCCAGGCTTGTTAAAGTCACAGGCGGCACAGGTGGCCTCATCAACCATGGCAGAGGGCTGCAAAAGGAGAGGGAAGGAGAGGCAGAAAGCAGTTAGCGTCTGCATAGTAAGCTATGATTCTGATGTGGGAAGTGAGGTCTCACCTGTAGGCGGTTTGTCAGGATGATGTTGGGATACATGGCCCCCACGTCCAGGTGGTAAATAAGGGGACACTCAATTCGGTTAGGAACATCTTTCAGGGAAGTGAGCTTGGCCTTAATCTGATCGCACACCTACAGAAAAAAAAGAGAAACAAAGGAACATTGGGACAAGATAAGACCTGGGCACTGTACAGGGTGACAAAGATAGCACAGCAGGCTCCAGTATGGCAGCTACCAAACCCAGAGTTTACAAGGAAGAGCAAAAATATACACTAGCTCTCCCTGTCTCCAGAATAGCTACCTCTTGAAAGTTGGTGGCTTGCTCCACAGGCACCTTCTCCTCTTCCTCAATGGCATGGTGCATGGTCTTCTCAACTCGCTGCAGCAGGAAGTCAAAGGCAGCAGGATTCTAGAGCAAGACAAACAGGAAAATGCACTTAATGCTAACCTGCCCCAGGGGTGACACCGTAGCCACGTGTTTACAGAGCCCACTGAGTGCCCTGCGTGTGGCAAGATATGCCAAGGGATGCTCTGAAAGTGCACTGTGGCCTTGGGAAGCATCAACGGGAGCCCTGCTCTGCATAATCCCGGAGTGGGGGGTGCTAGCCCAGAGAAACCATACCTGACATGAAGGTTCCATGAGAGAGAACAGGGGAAGAGTCTCTACTTCACCCCACAGCTTCTGAGTCCTAGCACAAAAGTGGGGAGAAGTGAAACCTCAGGAAGACCCAGGAGGGAGGCGTACCATCCTAAATCGGCAAGGGATGTCACTGCGGAAGACGCCAGACTCGAGGGCCTCCACATGGCCCCCAACATAGGTCTCGGCATCCAACACATGGCCATCATCTGTCAGCTTGTTGAACTCCTGCTCTTGTTTGTTGGGGAAGATAATGTTGGCGTGGAAGGCCTGCACCATCAGCAAAGCCTCACACAGCGTGCCGGAGCCTTTCCGCAGCACCTGTGGGAGAGATGCTGTGTCTAGCTATGCTCCACAAACCCATGCCAAAAGTTTTGACTCCCAGGCAAAGTCCAGGCCCACCAGAAAGACATCCAACCTTGACTGCCATGTGAAAGGAAAGAAAGCCTATTAACCAGTGGCCCAGTGGCTGCAGCCTTTGCCTCCCATGGCTATTCACACACCAGGGCACCTGGCTCTCTGAAGGATGTCAAAGTTCATCATCAGCCCCCTGGGAACAGCCCACCTCTGACCACCAGTGCATTCAGAAGAAAGCAGGAGCTCTGACAGAAGAAGCAGAGGGGATACTCGCCTCATCGGGCTCCACAGGAATAATGGTGCACAGTGCAAATATGAAGGGATGGACATACTTCATGTACAGATAGTAAGTGGCGACAGCATCTGACACTGAGTAAGTGGCCAGAGTCTGTGGAGAGAAGAGCAGAGAGCAGGGCCATCAAAACCCGAGGGTCCAGGAGAGTGAGAGAAGCACAGAAAACAAGGCTCACAGAGGAGGCAAGACCTCAGCAGCTGGTCCAAGTTCATAGCAGGTACAGGTACAAGACAGAAGGAACTCATCCCAAAGGAAAGGCAGTCCTGATGGGCCAAAAAGCAGGCGCCCATGCCCCAGGTGACTTGGCCTTTCAGGTCAGGACGAATACGACCTTGCAGTTGCATAGGAGAGCCAGAAAGTGGCTCACATGCCTGGGGCTGCTCCGTGGCCATCCGGCACATGTCCTCGGGGTCCAGCTCTACAGGGTCGTAGCCAAGCTTGGCCTTGGCAGCAGCCTTGAGGTTATGACTTCCGACAGGAAGGTAGCTGTCCCTCTTCACCCACCTGGGAAGAGGAGGAGAATAAATGTCAGAGATGATGCTAACACAAAGGCATCCAAGAGACTAACATCAAGACCCCATGGTGCATGCCTACAAATTACAAAAGAAATGCTAGGGCATCCTCCAGGCCCCTCACCTTATCTCCACCTCTAACAAAGAACTTGGCCTTTCCTTACAAGGAAATAAAAAGGCAAGCTGGCAGAAGGTATAGGCTTCTCTGCACACCTCAGGCCTCATTTTATAAACTAACCAGGGCGACTCTCCTCCTATCCTTACACTGTCCCTTCAGCATGGATGTGCTCAAGACACCCTCTTTAGAAGGTTCTTACCTCTATGTGGAGCCCATTTACACTTCCTCCCCACCCCTCTGCCTTCACTTTCTGTGCCAGTGATCACCACCTCTGCAAACTCTCCCATGGCCCCTTCCTCTTCTTTTACTTCTCATCTTGAGAGTTCACTATCAAGGCTTTTATTGAGACCCTAATCCATGACATAGTCCTTCACTCCCTCCCTCCTTCCTTTCTTTTGAGGTACTTTTTTTGCAGGGAGGGAGGCTTGAACTCAGGGCCTACACCTTCAGCCACTCTACCAGATCCTTTTACGTGACGGGTTTTATCAAGATAGATTTCACGAACTATTTGCCTAGGCTGGCTTCAAACTGCAATCCTCCTCATCTCTGCCTCCTGAATAGCTAGGATTATAGGCATGAGCCACTGGTGCCTGGCTCAGTGTTTCTTTCTGATATGTCTGGCTTGCCTACCTTTGCAGGTTGATGTTCAGTACGTGTTTGCTGAGTAAGCAGTCAAGTACTAGCAACAATCAGGAACAGTGATCCCTGGGCTGTGCAGAACAACAGTCACTACTCTTAGATAACCCAGAGCTGCTTCTTCGAGGTCACTCACTTACAACAAATGTGTTGATGACTCCAGTCTGAGAAGTTTTCAGACCTCACTCATGATACACCAGAGATGAACCATCATCCACACAGTGGGCACCTACCTGAGGCAGTCCATGTGGATGCACTGAGGTGCCTTGTACTCCCCCTGGCTGTCTTTCTGGAAGCCTATCTCCTGGTACATGCTCAGGCCGTATACTGCTGCCCTGGCCTCCACAAATGGCCTAGCGGGGAATGAGGAGAGACAATAGGGACAGGTTTATCTCTAATTCTCCTTCCTTTGTTCTTTCTGCTCCACAAAGGAAAACGGCTCCCAAAGACGCCAGAGTGAACCAGTACACTCCTCCTGCCAACTTTTCCATCAGAATGAGAAACCCACTGATGCCATCAAGCAGAGCTGCTCTTCTACCCTCCCCTCTTTAACATTCTTTAGTTACTCACAAGTAGGATGTTTGGCTCACCAGTCAAAAAAGTCCCCGTTGTAGGTGACCATGATGGTGGGTTTGGTCTCTTGCACATGCTCAAACCATCTCTGGATTAAATGCACCTAAGCCGAACAAATCACAGCAGTCAGCAGGACCCTTTTCTCTGCTTTCAGGTACTTCCAAACACCTCCCCCGAAGTACAGAAAAACCAGCTTCATGTCAGCTCTTACACTCAGGTCCCACCCTAGCCTTGGCTGTGGAAGAGGATTGCACCCTGAAGAGGAAGCTTGCTGAGTGAAACAAAGCCCTGATTCGGCGAATGCATAAGCTTCAAAAGGATCAGCACTCCTCTTTTTCCCACCTTATCCCAAATGTGGGGCAGTTCCCCAGCAATGCCTCTTTACCTCATCAGGTTCATTGAAGACACAAAAGGGCCCTTCATATTCTGGCTTGGGGGTGAATTCAAAGTCTTCGATATCTTCTGAAACAATCTCCCTGTTAGTGATGAGGTAGCCCTGGCAAAGTTCATTAGTGGCAACACAAGTCAGAGACAGCATAGCTGAGAGACTGCCTCCCAACATCACTCGGAAACTGCCCATAGACTCTTCTTACAAGGAACCATGCAGCAACATGAAGGCATCATACATTTCCCAGGAAGAGACCCCACTTACCTGGCCGTCAATCATGTAGGAGATCATCATAATTTGGTCCGTCTCGGCATCAGGAAATTTGAGGGGCAGTTTGGTTGTCTCAATGTCAAATGCCAAAACCACAGGGTCCTGGAAGGACAGCCACAAGGCGATAGACTACTAGTGAGCCACAAATCCAGTCATGGTCGAATACCTCTGTGTATACCCACCATTAGCCTGCTCTACTTCTGGCTCCTAGAAGCAACAATTAAAAGGCTCCAAAAGAGCTAAGTGGGATCCAGGATCAACTGACCCACGTCAACAATACCACTGACCCATGTCAACAACACCACAGATCTTTCATACCAAGGGTGTGAAAACTGAAGCACAAAAGGAGCAAACAGTAGAGCTGACAACCAGAACACCTGACAGAGCACCTCAGACTCAAAACTCAGAACTCCTCAGCTGACCTTTACAACAACCCTGGCAGGTGACTATGGCAGAGCTGCCATCTTCATCTTGGAGATGAGAAAACTGAGGTAGAGTGGTAGAGTGCCTAATAAGCACAAGGACCTGAGTTCAAACCCCAGTACTGCCAAAAACCAAGGAAATGGAGGACACATCACACAGCCACACCTGAACCAATGCCTTCCAATTACAGGTCCATTTCTCATGTCACACAGCTTTGCTTAAAAGGTGAAAATTCAGCCTAATCCAAAAACTGGTGTCACATGGTAACACATAGGTGCAAAATGAAATTATACTCTCAAGTCAGAAACTGATGAAAAAGTTCTAATTCCACAATTCTTTTCCTAAAGTATTTGAGGATAAAGAAATACATTCTGGATGGAGGAAACGCAAGTGGTACTTACAGGTCGTTCAACGAGATCATCTCTGCGGGCAATTTCCACTGGAAAAGCATTTCCACGGTATCTGACATTGTACCAGTGAGCCTGCAGAACGTGTAGTACATTAGCTGAAGAGCTCTAAGTCCAGAGAAGTCTGCTTCTGTGGGATTTATCCATATCATAAGCAGTGGCTTCCCCTGCTTACCACATGTATCTTGAGGTCAATGGAGAGGCGGATGTGGTAAGGAACATCATACTCCCGCATGTCCACTATGTTGTCCAGTTGGTCGGCTACCTTCTTAGAGGTTTCCTCTTCATCAGTAATTACACTGCCCCCTTGCAGAACACTAGAAAATGACACAAGAGCAGCTAACTCAACAATGCTCTGCTAGGACTAGAGGAGATGAAAACCAAAGTGTACATCAAGTAAACGTAAAGGGAAAACTGAGGTAGTTGCAATGACCTTGGCAGTCCCCCAAGGAATGGCCTTGGATAATTACCCTACCTGAGCAACAGGCCACAGAGACAAGAAAATCAGAGTACACTTGAGATGTGTGTATTTTGTTTGTTTGTTTATTTGGTGCTAGGGTTTGATCCACTTAACCAGCCCCTTTTCGTGATGGGTTTTGTCAAGAGGATTACAGGTGTGAGCCACCAGTGTAAGGCGAGATGTATGTATTTTATATGATGTAAGTTACACCTGGAGTTACACTCAGGAGAGCACCAAGTATGGCCATTCCACCACATCCTCTCTGCTACTCAGGAGGCTGCACCATGCAGGACTGAGGAGAGCACAGCCATCTCTATATAGCCTATATGTGGTCTCTGCGGTATTGACAGATGTGGTTCAACGTTGTAGAAAACCCATTTCTTCAACAAGAAAATGAGAAAGAAAGTTATTGGCCCACTTACAGGAATGCAGTGAGTATTAAGCAAGGTGATAGTCACAAAGCCTAGCTTAGTGCACAGAGAAGTGACTGGCAAATGTCAACTATGACTGTAACAGTCTTATATCCAAGTGGGAAACCTTTCATCAGAATATCTATTCCACTATTCTCCCACTAAGCTCAAAACTGAGTAGGCTCTTAAGAGGAAAAATGGTAGCTGTCACACACAGCTCAGGTGTCTGAAAATTCAGTTTCTGATTATACATTACAATATTCTGAAAAGTAATTTACAGCATCACTGGGGAAGGTGGGTTTAAAGGAGGGAACGCAGAATGGTAGGAGTCACCAACTGATTTTTTTGTTGAAGGATACTATCAATTCTTCTGAAGTCATTCAAAATTTAATTACACAAGATTTTTCTCCTTATGCCATTACTTTGCTTATTATTATGCCTAAACATTTGACAAATGACACTTGATGTTCTGTACTTAAATTTCTCTTTACAATACCTAGATTTGCCTAGCAATTACAAGGCCCCGAGTTCAATCCCTAATACCACAAAAACAAAACAAAATGCTTCTCCCCCGCTCCCGCAGTGTTTCCTAGAGAAGACATGCTATATAAAAAGACTCAGCACTTGACAAAACTTGTAGATGGACTGTGGATGAGGGATCTCTTCAAAATGTCCTCATTGCTACAGTAACTCATCCCCTACATAAAGAGGGAGAGCTAAGACAAAACAAAATACAACCTTGGGAAGCCACTGTTTATTTAGCACAGAGCATATAAAACTTCTGACCTAATTACTCAAGTGTTTCCACATTGAATACAGTCAACTGGGGTGTTTTCCCACCTCTTCTCTGTCATTCTTGCTCACAAGAAGGGTATTTACCTGGAGAGCATTGCTGTGTATGCATCACTGGCATGGTCCTGCTCCCGGTTCTTCCTCACAGCAGGGGAAATCTCCTTTCTCACTTTGACAAGGTCCTCCACAGTGTGGAAGGACAACTTGATGTAATTTCGCTTCAAACCCACTAAATGATTGGGCTATAAAGTGAACACATCATGCTTGTGAACTCTAGAGAAACAGGACTTTACTGGTGCGAGCAAACAAGGGTAAAGACTCATAGGTAGACACACACAAGTCAGACAGTACAGGCTCCAAAGCACCTGGTCTACCTCTGCATGTGGTACCACCTAATGTCTATAGAGTTCCTGAAGACTGATTTACAAACAATCAGCATCCCACATCCTACACACTGCCCCATTACCCAATGAATGACCTCTTTTAATATCAGCAGCCAGAAAGAATTGGACAGCAACCTCATTTGCCCATGGAAGGTCTGGGTGGTACTCACCAGGTCTAGGTCCTCTTTGGGGACAGTCTCTACTTTTGCAATTTTACCCTGAAACTTCTTGGAGAGAAAAGATGAAACTTCTCGCTCACAACCCTAAATCAAGATCACAAGGGACTTCCCATTAGTGAGATCTCTTTCCCTGGCCTGTTTTCCAGTTTTGAAGCCCATCACAGAACAAGGCACAGACTGACCTAATTCTACCAAACAGAGACTTACCTTTCTGGTTGCAATGTAGAAATACGGCTTATAGGGCAAGGCCACCTGCAAGAGTCAGCAACCCATCAGGTGCAATGAGAAAAATAAAAGGAAGAGAAAAGTGAAGATAGACTTTACTAACCCATGAGACGCCTGGATCCAAGCATCCTAGACTCTAATAGCTCTTAAGAGAGAAGGCACACAGGAAATCTGGATCTACAGGTATCTTGGGGCTAGAACCCAAAAGACACAATACTGTTCAATTTTCTGAGTTTATTTCTCTCAGGTCATCTTAAATGTGACATGCAGCTCATGGGGGCCCTGTCCTCAATGGGGCACAGGCTAGAGCCTGTACTAGAGCCTCCTACTCCCTGACAGTCATGGAGCTGATCAAACACCAGTCATTTTTAGACCCTGCTCCTAATGAATGGATTTTAGCTTTTTGGGGTTAGGGGCTTACCTTAAATCTGCTCCCATCATCTTGAATAAAGTAGTAATCCACTGCACTCACCAAGCGTTTATCTTCATCTAAAATCTCAGTCTGCAAGAGAGCCACCCAACATGGGGTATTATCCTCTACAATCTACTCTTCGGGAACCAAGCACTTTAAAAGCTCATACTTGCATCTGACCCTTTACCCTGCCCCCTGTATAAATCCCACCGGACTGATTCACAAGGACCATATTATAACAGTTCCCAAGTGGGGGATCGAATTTCTCCTTCACAATACTTTTAGTTTTATTGGGCTTTTTCCCTTTGTTTTTATTATTTATTTTTCTCCTTCATAATCTTTGAAAGCTTTATGCTGGTAGCAAACAAGACACCGTGTTCATCTTAGTTTTGTCACAGTGGCCTCTTTGTGGCCCTCAGTGATGTTAAAGAGCAAAGGACAGTTTTGAACAAGCAGATCTCCCAGACAACAGGTTCCCTCCTTGCTTGTCACCTGCTCTTCAGACACGGACTGTCCTATGGAAAGGTGCAGCCCTCCTGCCCTACTGAGGAGCAAAGGGTCAACCAAAGTGCAGGTGCTTACAGGGTGCATGTTGATGAGCCAGCCAGTCTTCTCACCAGGCTCCTTCAGCCTCTCAAAACCAAACCGCAAGTCCATCTTATCCGTCCACTGGCTCCGCTCCAAGCGCTTGAGCGCTGAGAGTGAGGCAGAGGGGCCATCTTCCCTGAGTGAAAGAAAGGAGTCCAGGCTTCCTCACTGACACTTCTCATCCTATAAACCCTTAATCCGCCTAGTCTAAATGTTTCCAATATGGGATGGCACATGCATTCCTGAAAAATTTTGAGATTGGCAAATGGTTCACAGGATTTTTGGCAAAACTCGATTCGGGTAAGCTCCTCCAAACCTTTCTGACTTTGTGGGCTGGTGGAGTGGCTCAAGTGGTTAGAGTGCCTGCCTAGCAAGCAGGAGTCCCTGAGTTCAAACCCCAGTACTACAAACAAAACTGAAACAAACATTCAAACAAAAAAAACCTTTCCAATTTTGTATCCAGAACACAAACAAAAATAGCAATCATGGTTGAATGATACCACCTCATGGGAATAATTAAAATGCATAAACCACCAGCACTGCACTCTCAGAGAAATTGAAATTCGTGTTCATATGGAGTTTCATGATTGTCCACAGCACCTTTACTCAGGATAGCTAAAACCTGCAAACAATGCAGATGTTTCTCAAGAGGCAAATAGTTAATTTTGGTTTATTCATACATGACTACTACTCAGCAATAAACTGATACAACTTGGTTGACTCTCAAGGGAATTATGTTAAGTGAAAAAAGCCAACCCTCCAAGTACACATTACATAATTCGGTTTATATAGCATGGAGACTGAGAAGAGGTCATCAGTTGCCAAAGATGGGGGAGGGAGGAATGGCCATGGCCATGGCAGGAAGCATGAGAGCTCAAATTTAATGGTAACTCCATGAATAACATGTATTAAAACTGCACAGAACTAACTAGAGTGCCCATAAAACTGGTGCAATCTGATCAATGTCAGTTTCCTGGTTGTGACACTGAACTCCAGTTACACACAAGTTATCACTGGGGGAATGTGGATCTCTATAATTTCTGACAAGTGCACGAGAATCTACAAGTATCTCAAAATGAAAACTTCTTTTTTCTTTTGAGACAGGATAGTCCCAGCTCTCTTCTTGCTGAGATTACAGGTGTATACCATCATGCCTAGCAAAAAAGAATATTTTTTCTCCCCACTGTCCAGGATTCGTTTATTATTAGGCTTTTTGTTCAAGTAGATTTTCTCACCGCACACCCGACAGTGTGGACACTTGACCACTAAGCAGTTCAGTGTTAGTAGTCTCAACCTAGAAAATTCGCATCTGTCTCCCTTGCTGGGTCGAGACCCTCTACTCTACTTTTCTTTCCTAGCACCCGGCACAGCACCCAGAGAGCACCCCAAACAGTACCGTGACAGCACCCCCACCCGCACAGCACCCAGAGAGCACCTGGCACAGCACCCAGAGAGCACCCGGCACAGCACCCAGAGAGCACCCCGAACAGTACCGTGACAGCACCCCCACCCGCACAGCACCCAGAGAGCACCCGGCACAGCACCCGCACAGCACCCAGACAGCACCCGGCACAGCACCCAGAGCACCCCGAACAGTACCGTGACAGCACCCCACCCGCACAGCACCAGACAGCACCCGCACACCAGCACAGCACCCGGCACAGCACCCAGAGAGCACCCCGAACAGTACCGTGACAGCACCCCCACCCGCACAGCACCCAGAGAGCACCTGGCACAGCACCCAGAAAGCACCCGGCACAGCACCCAGAGAGCACCCCGAACAGTACCGTGACAGCACCCCCACCCGCACAGCACCCGCACCCAGAAAGCACCCGGCACAGCACCCAGAGCACCCCGAACAGTACCGTGACAGCACCCCCACCCGCACAGCACCCGCACAGCACCGCGAGGAGAGTACTAGGAGGAGCCGGCGTCCCCGTGGCCGCGGGGCGTCCCCACTCGTTCCCGACAGGCTGGCCGCCCAGGGCCAGGAGACCCACGCAGCGCGTGGGGAGATCGACGCCCTCCACCGTGCGTGCCCCCAGGGCCACCGAGCCGACAGCTCCGTGCGGCCCCCACACGACGCTACCGCGAGTGTCCTGGGAGCCGGGCACCAACTCTCACCGGCTGGCCTCGCCGTCTGCGCCCGGCTCCGCGCGCCGCCGCCCCCCGGGGTTTCTCAGAACCATGGCAGAGCTAGTAGACTTCCTCAGCCTCCAAGAAAAACTTGGCGCGCTCCAACCTACTCTCGCGAGATACCGGAAGTCCTCTCCATCCAATCAGGAGGTCAGTGCGCCCCGCCCCGCGGCGCTCCAATTGACGACCGTGCGTGTACAAGTAGGGGAGGGGGGGAGTCGACGCCTGGACTGGCGTGTGCGCAGGCGCACCGCTCAGCCCCGCCCAATCCCGCCCCGCCCCTCCCGGCGGCCCAATCAGCGACGTTATCCGGGGTGAGGGGGTGGGGGGAGAGGCCCACCAGGGACCGGGGAAAAATGTGCTGAGGCGCACGCCCCGCACAGCCATGTTGGTCCGGGGCAGTGCTGTGGACCATGATGGGGCTGGAATTGTCAGGCCGTCCCCGCCCCGGGCCCCGCGCCCGGCCAGCCTGCGGTGGGATCGGAGTCCTGGGCAGCGCAGAGCAGGGACGACGATGGCGCCGGCGGCGTCTCGGCTGCGGACCGAGGCTGCGCTTGCGGCGCTCCCGCGGCGCGCGCTCGCCCACTACCTGCTGCTCCTGAGGCTCTATCCCGTGCTCGCCAAGGCCGCCAGCAGGTGGGCGCGGGGAAGGGGAGAGGGGAGCGGGGAGAGGAAGGGCCGCCTCGCAGACCCAGCTGCACCGATGCAGCCTGCGGAGGAGTGTGGGCGCCAGAGGCGAAGTCCTCGGAGCCCCAAGATGTCCTCACAGCCCTGCTTTTCCAGGAAGCTCAGTAAGAGCAGTTCGCGTCCGCGGTGCCCAGCAGCGGTGCTGGTGCAGTCTACATGCGAAGTCCAGGGAGCCAAGGGCGAGATTTTATGAGTTAACTTTATAGATTTGTCTTACTTAGTCTTTCCTAAGGCTATGGCCGAAAGAGGTGCTGAGGTCTCACAAGGTGATGTCTTGGTGAAGAACTGGACGAAAAGCAGATGGACATGTAACAGAGTGGCCAGACGTTCCTCCTGCGGAGGTGGCATGGAGCAGGCATGCAGAGAAGAGAAGCAAGAGCTCTGAGGGCAGAGGGTACAGCCAGTGCAAAGGTCTTGAGGGATGAGCTGTCACATGTTGGAGGAGTGGGAAGAAGGTCTGTGTGGTTGGAGAAAGTAAGAAGGGAGAGCAGAGAACGAAGTAGCCAAGGGGTCAGACCAAGAGGGTCTTTGGGTCCCTACTAAGAATTTTCCATTTTATAGCTTTTCAGAAGGTAATTACTGACTAGCCTCAAAGGGAACAACTGGTCCTGTCTCCACCTTTTTGTTGTTGTTGTTAAACTTTTCTCAACTTTTATTTTTGAATTAGATTAATAATACGAGGGGAGATTTCATTGGGATAATTCTGTACGTCAATACGATGCATCTTGAACAAGTTCATTCCCTCCACTATATTTCCATTTCCATCCCTGTCCTCCACTTCTTACTGAAAATTATATCGGGGCAAAGTAGACTGAGACAGTTGTAATACAAAGATCACTGGCAGGTGGCCTCATGGCAACATTGTGTCAAGCTGTATATAGTGTGACATGCACACAGCTCACAGCTAAGACATGTTCAGATTTTCCCAGATTCTCCTGTACTTGTCTGTGTGTGGTCAGTTCTGCACACTTTTATCGTATGTGTAGGATCATGTGTTTCTGTATCTTCACGCCCGTGAAGATACATGAAGATACAGAACAGTGTCGTAGGATTCCTCTTGTCACTCTTTTATAACCACACACTTCCTGATGTCCCCCGAGGTAGCCTGCATGATGGCAGTGGAACAAGACATTCAGGGTCTTGGCACTGAAGCAGCCTAGCAGCTGGAACTCTTAACTGTACTCACCTGTATGTTAGGGTCTGTCACCTCCACCTTCTGATGTGGGGACTTAACCTCGCAGCTGCTTCAATAAGGATTCAGCCCACCATCCATAGCATGATCTTAGAGCAGCCCTGCTGATTCCCATGCAAGACATGCACGCCCTCTCATCGCTTGCTCCTGTCTTCCGATTACCTCTCTGCAGTGGCATTTTGTCAGCACTTGGTAACCTCTTGGCCCAGACGATTGAGAAGAAGAGGAGAAAAGACTCTCAAAATCTAGATCTCAGTGGTCCTCTCAGATATGCAGTTTATGGGTGAGTGCCACAGAGGGGCTGGCTGACCCCAGAGATTTAGCATAGCAAAGCTGGGCTGCCAACATCAAGGTTTTGGAATAATCTGATCTAGAAAAATATTTTTAAAAGCATCAACATAACCATGCATAGTGGTACATGTCCTTGATCCTAGCTACTCTGGAGGCAGAGGCAGGAGAATTTCAAGTTTGAGACCCTATCTAAAACACAAACAAAAGGGTTGGGGCTGTAGCTCAAGTGATAGAGTGCTTGCCCTGGGTTCAATCCCAGTGGGGGTGGGGTGCATTGATTTAATCATCACGGGAGAAAAGCCAGAAGTTTAGGCATATAGCATGTTAGTTTGTTTTATTTTCTTTTGTTTTTGTTGGTGCTGGGGATCTAACACAGGACTTTACTCAGGCTAGGTAGGTAGTATAGACAAGAGCTACACCCCCAGCTCCAAATACAGTTTGTGGTTTTTTTAACTAGAAAAAAATTCACCATAGAAATGGTGAATTTTGTTTCTTTATTTTATGTTATCATTTTTACATTTACTCACATGTGTGTATATTGTTTGGGCTACCTCCCCCCACGCCCACCCCCCCCCCCCCCCCCCACCTTCCTGCCACCTCCCCCCACCAGTTTTATTTTGTTTTGTTTTTCCTATGTTGTCCAGACTGGCCTTGAACTTGAAATCCTTCTGAATAGCTGAGATTATAGTCATACATCACTGCACTGGCTGCAGTTTTCATTTTCACTTGCACTGGTGGGGGCATCTTTACTGGGCTGAGATAGACCTGAGGGTAGATAATGTGCCCGAACTGACAGCCAGACTTCAGGAATCAGAGGCGCGAGATCATCCTTACTGGGTTCTCAGAAGAAGAAAAGCAGCTCAAATAGGACCAATTTCTGTTACTTGCATAGTAACAGAAAAATACTTACGTATCTTGAAAAATACCCAGTTGCTGAACCGATTTCTGAATTCCAGAAGCACAGAGACTGGAAAATTTTTTTGTCTGGGTTATTGTGAGACTGGGTCTTGCTGTATTGCCCAAGCTGGCCTTGAATTCCTGTGCTCAAGCGGTCTCCTATCTCAGCCTCAGAGTATCCAGGACTACAGCTGTGCACCACTGCACCCAGCTAGTTTTTGCCAGCTTCACCCTCCCTGAGCAATTTGGCCAACAACAGTTTTATAGATGGATTATTTCAAAGTCTTTTCCAACTAGACTGACTTTTTAAAAAAAAAAAAAAAAAAAAAAAAGGTTTTTTTGTGGGGGAGGATGCCCGGAGTCACAGCCTTAACCATGCTAGGCAAGTACTGTACCACTGAGCTTTGCCTCCAACCCCTACAATGATCTTTTTATTATTATTATTAGTTCAGAAGACTTTTTGTACATGCAAGCATGCTAACCTGGGTTATTTTCTCTGATGTATCTTAAGCAGCATCCTCCAGACAGTTGTATAGTGAGATCAGCATAGGCTGCATGGTCTTCCCCTCCCCAAGATTTTGTTCTCTTCCCGTTGGGAGGCTCTGCTGCAGGCTACATAACACCTGCATCAGGGTGGGAAAGTCCAACTGAGAACTTTGTTTAAAGACCCTGGTACCTGCCCCTCCCCACATTGCTGCTTTGAGGAGCTTAGGTCTGCTGGGCTCTGTCCTCTCCCAGGTGCACTCGAATGGAGAGCAACAATCCAGACAAGTCAGAGTGCAGCCTGGCCAGTTTCCTGAGATCTTGATGAAGATTTCTAAAAGCAGAGGCAGGTCCATTTATTTATTTACTGATCACCTCTTGGAAGCAGAGCCTGTTCCAGGCCCAGGGACATGGCAGCAGATAGACAGAAACAAACTGCTTGTGGCACCTGCCTTCCAGGGGTGAAGAGGACAGCATATACCCAAATGAAAGAATGTGACCCTGCTGTGCAGACAGTGACATAGAGTCTAGAACACAGAAAGGCTGGCACCAGGCATGTGCATTGCTAGGACCAGGGAATGGCTCTCCCAGCTGAACATGTGGAGGAGCTGACTACCCCTGCAAAGACGGGGGAGGAGGCGACATGGGGAGCAGAGCATTCATGCCAGAAATGGCTTTGGTCTATTCAGGCAAAAAAGAGTACCTGAACAAGAGCTAGTCAGAGAAAGCATTTTCTAGAAGATGTGATCAGTACTGAAGGAGGCAGGGCTTGGGACCAGGGATGGCTCTTGGGTGAGGCTGGACTGGAGAGGCACGTGAAGAGAACCAGTCTGGCTCACACCCACCACCGGGCCTCAGGTTCCTTGTCACAGGCCCCCTGAGCCACTACTTCTACCTCTTCATGGAGCACTGGATCCCTCCAGAGGTCCCCTTGGCTAGAGTCAAGAGGCTGCTGTTGGACCGCTTCGTCTTTGCACCAGCCTTCCTGCTGCTGTTCTTCCTCATCATGAACTTGCTGGAGGTGGGTGTCTGGACCCTGACTGCCTTGGGCAGGACTCTGGGGCTGTGAGCATTTTACTGCTCTCAACTTGAAGTTCGGCAGTTTCCCTTATGAATTTGGAGAGCAGAACACAGGACTCTTAGCAGTACCTGTTTGCCTATGGTAGAAATCACACGTACCCTGACACCATACATCAGTTGCTATAGATGTCTTGGAGCACTGTAGTGTGCATTACCTCAGACCTGCTGAAGTTCTTGTTAGATGTGTTAACAAAGATTGTTTCCCAAACACATTTAGGTGTATTTGTCTTTAAATTTCATATAAAGGTAAAATACAAAATTTGTGTTTTCTATATACAGATTTTTTTTGGTGGTGATGGGATTTGAACTCAGGACCTCTCACTTGCTAGGCAGGCACTCTACCACTTGAACCATACTTCTGCCCTTTAGACTTTAATTATTTTTTAGGTAGGGGGCTCACATTTATTTGTTTTGTTTTGTTTGTTTGTTTACTTGGCGGTACTGGGGTTTGAACTCAGGGCCTGCAGTTTGAGCCACTCCACCAGCCCTTTTTTGGGTTGGGTATTTTCAAGATATGATCTTGTGAACTATTTGCCTGGGCTGGCTTCGAACCACTATCCTCCTGATCTCTGCCTCCCAAGTAGCTAGGATTACAGGCTTCAGCCACTAGTGCCCAACTGAGGCTCACATTTATGCCTGAGGTGGTGTGGACCACGATCCTCCTATTTATGCTTCCTGCATAGCTGGGATGATAGGTGCATGCCACCACTCCCAACATTTTATTGATTGAGATGGAGTCTCAAGAACTTTTGATTAAGCTGGCCTCGAACTGCCATCCTACTGATTTCTGCCTCCTGAGTAGCTAGGATTACAGGCATGAACCACCATGCCTGGTTCTATACAGTCTTATATAGTAAACCTGTCTTATTCGCAGATTTAGTATACATGGGCTCCCTGACCCCACTCCGGGTGTGGAACACAAGGCCTCACACTTGGTAGGCAGGTGCTCTAGTACTTGAACCACACCCCCAGCGTATACAGATGTTATAAAACTTCCTGTGTTCAAATCTGAAATTCTTTTCCTTTGGCCTTTCTAATAGGAATATTATAGAAATACTCTTAAATTTTCTAGTGGTGGTGTTTCCTACATTGTGATACACCTTCTATCTTCTCCTCTTTATCCTTATGGTTTTATTTTTTGCTGTGAGAGGTAGACTTCTCTCTTGATTTGTCCACTTATACAGCATGCTGTCTTCTTGCCATTTATTGAAATCCTCATTATTTTGTAATAACTTCTTCATATTCTCATTTTCAAACATACAGGCCATTATCTGGACTCTGTTCTTCTGCTGGATTCTTTGCATTTCCATTATATGTTGCTTGGGTTTTGTTTTGTTTTGTTTAGCTGTGGCTATCGGAGTATTTTACCTACCATAATGTTACAGTATTTTTCCATTTGGTTTCTTTTCTTTTTGTGGTACTTGGTTTGAACTCAGGGCCTCATGCTTGCTAGGCAGACACTGTACCTCTTGAGACATTCCACCAGCAAAAACATCTTTTTTCTTGGTGTTTTTGCTCATTGGAACTGGGCTTTGAACTCAGGGCCTTATGCTTGCTTGGCAGGAGCTCTGCCACTTGAGTCATGCCCCCAAGCCAATTTTACAGTATTTTTAAAAGATGCTGGTAAAGTAGGCCTTCCCTCTTCTTTTGAAAGATGGCTGTGCTTTCAAAAGCATTCATTCTCCCAGATGATATTTAGGATCAATTTATTGGGGTCCATTTTTTAAAAACTCCTGACAAGTTTTGATTTGAAATGCATCCTCTTTGGAGATTAACCCAGAAAACATTGACAGCTGAGCCCTCAGCAGTTCTGGTGCTGGGCTGATCAGCTGCAAAGAGCTGAGGGGACAGGCACCCCAGGTACCCACAGACATCACCCAGCATGCAGGCAGCTTGCTGTCCCTCTATGGTGACTGAAGATTTTTTTCTTTCTTTTTTTAGTGGTACTGAGGTCTGAACTCAGGGTCTCACAGTTGCCAGGCAGGTGCTCTACACTTGAGCCATACCCCAACACTTGTTTTTGCTTTTAATGATTTTTCAGGGAGGGTGTCGTGTTTTTGCCCGAGGTCAGCCTCAGACCATGACCTTTCTCCTTATGCCTCCCATGTAGCTGGGATAACCAGCTGGTGCCACCACACTCAGCTTATTGATTGAGATTGGGTCTTGTTAACTTTTTGCCCAGGATGGCCTTCAACTGCAATCCTTCCAATCTCTGCCCCCTCAATAGCTGGGGTTACAGATGTGAACCACTGTGCCCAGACAGACTGAGGATTTTCTGATTGAGTGTTTAGCTCTCTACAGTGTAGTAAGTGCACGTGCTGTCTCTTTATAAATGGAACAGAACCAAATAACACAGTTTTAGAAATCACTGTCAAGGTTGGGTGCCGTTCTGGTGAAGGGGGTGCAGCTCACCCCATCTCTGCCCTCCTTGCAGGGAAAGGATGCCAACACCTCAGCTGCCAAGATAAGGCGCAGCTTCTGGCCTGCGCTGCGGACAAACTGGCAAATGTGGACACCTCTGCAGTTCATTAACATCAGTTATGTGCCCGTGCAGGTGAGGCAGCCCATCTCCCCCAGAGGTCTGTCCTGCAGCCTTGCCTGTGTTTTCTTCCAACAAGCTGTAGCTTTTCTCAAGCCATGTTTTCACCCTGACTTCTAGACTCCTGGTCCATCCCTAGGCAGTGTTCAACACTCCAGTGCTTCAGTTGTGGAAAGTCTCACAGGGTCTCCAGAGCAGGCTTGCTTCAGCTACTCATTCAGCAAATTCTGAGGTCTTCTAGTAATTAAACCTTCTTGTTCCCTTGGGCTTAGGAAAGCAGACAGGTGCATGGAGTGGGGCCTGGTGTAGAGTGGAGTCTGGTCAGTCAGAGAGAAGGCCCTTTGTGGGAACTTGGAGCTTTTAAGCCCTTGTGAGTAGAAACGGGCTGCCTGGTGAAGGGTGAGAAACCTGTTGAGTTGGTCCTGATTCAGGCAGTAGAGAGTGCAGGGGAGTGATCAAGACCCATCTCCTGTGACTCTGTGGACACTGCCATCCTGTGCTGATCCAGGTTGTGCATGTCAGCTGTCCTTGTGCCAGGCCAGTCTGTGTTCCCACAGGACACATGCTCATTCCTCCCTTGAGGACATTCTTCTCCAGTACTGGCCTGAGTTTGCTCCAGGGAACCCACCTGCTTTGTACTAGAAGCTGGGCACTTGGTGCCTCTGCCAAGTTCAGACCTAGGGAGGAAGGAGGTGAGCCAAATTTGTGCACTGTGAAGAGGGGAAAGGTGGGAGCCCTTAGGAAACCTAAGCTGCTAACCAGGGTTGTCCTCCTGAACAGACCTGTTCAGGGCAGCAGTTCAGGCTGAGGCTGAGGCAAAGGATTGTGAGTTCAAGGCCAGCCTGGGCTTCCTAGTGAGACCCTATAGAGAGAGAGGGAGAGGGAGAAGGAAAGGGGAAGAGGAGGAAAAGGGAGGGGAGGGGAAATGAGAGGAGAGGGAAGAGGGATTGAAAAAAAGAAAAAGATCACAAGTCTTAAAAAGTTTGTGAAGAAGTGGGAGAAGCAGTAGAGGGACTGGGGTGGTGGAGGGGCTCTGAAGCTCAGAAAGGTGGGATCATGGTAAGGAAACACGTTTGTAGGATACTGAAGCTCAGAAAGGTGGGATCATGGTAAGGAACCACGTTTGTAGGATAGTGCTTGATGTGGTTATAGCTGTTTATGGGATGGGCAAGAGAGTCCTTGGAGCCACCTAAGGAGGCAGAGAGAATAGGATCCCTGGGAGTGGCATAGTGGTGCTTGGATGGGAGCCCTTCCTTGTTTGCCAGGAAAAAGGACTCCAGTGGGTAGTGGATGGGATTTCTAGATTCCTCTGTGTTCTAGGTCTGAGGTCTGGAGTAGGTGGGATGGGTTTGGCACTGTGGAGAGTGAGCTGAGTGGAGACAGGCTTCTGGGCAGAGGGTGGACACCTTCTTATGGGCCTGGGACCTGTCCAGCTGTGGTCAGCTCCCAGGGAGCCAAGGAGGTAGGGAGGACAGGTTTTCACAGGGAGCACAACCACAGGACAGTAAGGTGAGGAAGCCATGGCTATAAGCCACAGATTCTGAGGCATCCTAGGGAGACAAGGCTGAGGACATGGAGGAGTGGAAAGGACAGAGACAGTGCTTCCTTGCAGGAACAGCACTTGGAGGCTAGCATCAGAGGTTTCATTTTAGGTGGTGGCACATGCGTCTTTAAGGGGCAGAGATGTTACTCAGGAAGGATTCATTGAGCACCCACTATATGCCCTGCTATTCTAGACAAGATGAGGACAGACTCATGGAACCACCTGCCAGGAAGAGACAGCACCTGACCCGGGTGGTTTCAGGTGGGAGTAAATCTAGATGATCAGAGGAGGTGCCAGGACAGTGGCAGGTTGGAGTGCAGGGCTGGTCACAGTGAGGTGCAGGCAGGGATAGGATGGGTGTCACGTGCAGTCCCCCCACTGAGGGCATCACATCACATGGCAGCCAGCCCTGGGTAGAGAAGTGAAGCCAGAGTGCTGGTGAAGGAGTAAAGAGTTTCTGCCTCTGGTTGCTTGCGTCACTGCCTTGGTTCCATTGGCATGTAAACATTGTTAGGAGGGGGACTATTGTCCTCCCACCTCTGCAGGGACCTAGCACAGAGCTTGGAAAGTCTCAGGAAATACAACAGCAGGCAGGTGGGTGGACTGACCAACCAGTAAACAGTTGATGGAATGAACTCTGTCGTGAGTCGCTGGTGCTTGGTGGATGTGGTCAGGCCTCCCACTCATCACTGTCCACCTGTTTTCTCGGCAGTTCCGGGTGCTCTTTGCCAACCTGGCGGCTCTGTTCTGGTATGCCTACCTGGCCTGTCTGGGGAAGTGACACTAGATGCACTGTGGAGTCGACTGCCAAAGGGAGAAAGCAGAAACCACCCAGTCAGGACTTGGTCTGACTTGAAGTCATGTGACTCAAGGTGCCTCAAAATTGCAGATGGAGAAAGAAATCTGATAGTGTCCGAAGCTTGTGCTTTAGAGAGGCGGCAGCTGACTTGGACAGAAGAGATGACTTCAGTTGTCACCTTGGACCAGATGCAGGTCACAATAAATGGTAATGCAGCTGCTTCCATGATGGTCCTGGTGTCTTAGAACAGCCGCTCTTGGGTCTTGTTTGATTCTTTTGTGTTGGAAAATCCATATAACACAAAGTTCACAATTTAAGTGCACAGCTCAGCAGCATGGAGAAATCAGTGTTATGCAGCCATCTTCCTAAAATGAAACTTTCATTAAACACTAACTTTCCATTCCCTCCCAGGCCTCTATTGCCCACCATTCTTCTTCTCTACAGATTTGAGTCTAGGTATGTATGAGTGGATTCACACCCTGTTCTTAATGTCTATGGTTTGAATGTGTCCCCTGCAAAACTCACATTGAAACTTAGTGCCCATTGCAGGGGTGTTATGAATTGGGGTCTCATCTGGGTGCTGCTGGCTCCTAGCTACTTGGGACGCTGAGCTTAGGAAAATCAAGATTCAAGGCCACCCAGGCAAATAGTTGGCAAGACCCCATCTCCAAAATAACCAGAAGGTGTGGCTGAAGCAGTAGAGTGCCTGCTTTGCAAGTGTGAAGCTCTGAGTCCTAACCCCAGTCCCATTAAAAAAAAAAATGGGGTGTTTAGGGAAGTGGTTAAGTCCCTCATGAATGGATTAATGTCCTTATAAAAGAGCCTTCAGAGAGTTTACTCCTTTTGTCCTTCTGTCCCTGTGGTTGTGCGAGGACAGTGTTTTCCCTCCAGAGGATGAAGACCAAGGGACCGTCTTGGAAGCAGAGGTTGCCCTCACCAGCAGTGCCTTGATCTTGGGCTTTTCAGCCTCCAGAACTGTGAGAAATGAATTTCTATTGTTTATAAATTATCCAGGCTGTGGTATTTTGTTATTTTCAAGGTTCATCCATGTTTTAGCATGTGTCAGAATTTCCTTTCTTTTTAAGGCTGGATAGTTCACTGCTGTCTATACCACATCCGTCCATATCCGTTCTTCCATCAGAGGACATTTGGGTTGTTTCCACCTGTTGGCTAATGTGAGTGATGCTGCTGTGAATACGGTGTACAAATATCTGTGCACCGGGCATGTGGTGCATAGCTGTAGTCCCAGCTACTTTGGAGGCCCAAGCAGGAGTTTGAGGCCAGCCTGACTAACATGACAGTAAGACCCCAGTTCTCAATTGTAGAGATCAGCCAGGACTGATCAGCTAAGGGACCGCTGTGCCAGAACTCTTCTGAGAACATCTCAGAAGTTAGCATTACTCAATTCTACAATAATCCTTTGAGATTCTTTCCATTTCACAAATGGGAACACTAAAGCAAGACCTCTTTAGTAAGAGATGGGCCCTAGATTCAGGTGCAGTATGCTGGGTCTAGAACCATCATCTGAGCATGCAGCCTCCCAGAATTTCAGGGGTAGGCTAAAACAGACAGTTGACGGGCAGTTTTGTGTTTTTTAAGTGATGTGAATTCCTGCTATTTCTGGCTTATCACAGCCTGCATTCACTCAGTTCATTTCATCCATATTTATTGGGTGCTATCAGACACAGAAGGAAGGGCAGAAAGCAGGGTTTTAGTCTCTCCCCCTTGGATGTTTGTCAGTGATGGAGAAAACAGGTTTATAAGTGGTTAAATGAGCAAAATAGTTTTAGGAAGGAGAGGCACTTTTTCTTTTATTTATATCATGGTGCCTTGAACAATATGAATTATATTTGGAAAAATGAATCCATAAAAAGATCTATAAAATCAAGGCTGGGTGTGGTGCTCATGCCTGTAATCCTAGCCACTGGGAAGGTGACGATTGTGGTTTGAGGCCAGCCTGGTCAAAAAGTTCTCTAGACTCCATCCCAACTAATAGGTGAACATAATGGCGTGCACCTGTCATCCCAACTTTATGGAAAATGTAAATAGGATCAAGGTCCAGGCATAAACATGAAAGTATATTCAAAAAATAACCGAAGCAAAAGAACAGAAAAAAGAAGGGCTGGAGGAGTGGCTCAGGTGGTAGAGCACCTGCCTAGCAAGCACAGACCCTGAGTTCAAAACTTCAGTGTTAGAAAACAGTTGCATTTCCTGGGCCCCCCTGCTAGCTCTCTCGAGACTGCCTTACTTTGGTCTTTTGGGTACAATGAGTAGAAACAGCCTTGTCTCCTCCAGCCTCAGTGAGGGTACACCCTTACCTTAGGCCCAGTGAAGGGCCTTTATTTTTTATTTTTGTCTTTTCTCTTTTGGTGCCGTGGTCAAACCCAGGGCCTCGCGCATGCTAGGCTACATCCTAGGCCAAGAGGCTTCTCCTGGGTGGTCTTGCCTGCTTTGGGGCTGGTAACTTCCAGAGGAGACAGCAGAGATGGAGGCAGCTGAAGACTTCCAGAGCGGGGTGCAGAGGTGGTGGGGTGGGGGGTAGTCGGGGAGAAAAAACCTGCAGTGCTGCTGAGCCCTAGGGCAAAGGGCCCCCAACACCCTAAGCCCGAGAGCTGCTGCAGCAGGAGCAGGTGCTGCCTCTGCTGCCCTCGCTCGTGGACTAGAATGGTACAATGGCTGCCAAGGGCTGGGCTGCCGGCGGCCAGAGCCCAGGGCAGTGCGCCAGGCCTCTGGCTCCTAAGTCTGGAGCGATGGCCCCTGGCTCGCAGGGCCTGAAGCTGTGAGCCTCTGGCTCTGTCCGTCCAGGCTCTCGGCCCCGGACTGCAAGTGTGGAAACACTTCCTACCACTTTCCCATCAGGAGAGCAGAAGGACCGCAGCCAGCATGGGGGGACAGCAGGACAGGCAATGCCAGGAGCCGAGGCAAGGGAACGGAGATGTTCTGAGTTCTGAGCCAGGTGTTGTAGTGAACCTCAGCAATCCCAGCGAGAGGGCCTGTGAGTTGGAGCCGGGCTGGCCACATGGCGAGGCCTGACTTAAGGAAACGGAAAGGTACGGCGCTCTGGGGGACGGCGATGGCTGACAATGAGCCTGCGCGTGGGGCCCTGCGCTGCCCTTCCACAGCCTAAAAAAGAAAAAACCCGAGCCTCCCAGTTCACTGACGCCCCGTTCTCGTCTGCACGGACGCGGCGCCCTCCACACGCTCCCGCATCCCCGTGCGGGCCCCGGCCCTCGCCCCGCCTTCCGCGCCGCGGCCCGGGCGCTCCCAGCGGACCCCGCGGCCGGAGCCGCCCGCGAGGGGGTGGGACTTCCGCCGGCCGGAAGCGGGCGCGCCGTCGTGCCGCGCGGGAGGCGGCATGGCGTTCCGGCAGGCGCTGCAACTGGCCGCCTGCGGCCTGGCGGGAGGCTCGGCCGCCGTGCTCTTCTCCGCCGTCGCTGTGGGCAAACCGCGCGCCGGCGGGGACGCCGAGCCGCGTGCGCCGGAGCCGCGCGGCTGGTCCGGGGGCGCGCGACCGGGGCCCGGCGTCTGGGACTCCAACTGGGACAGGTGCGCTGTGGGCTGCGGGGCTGGTGGCGGGCGGGCCTGGCTCCTGTCCGGTCCCTCGTCCGGGCGCAGGAGCGTGTTGACACCTGGCAGCGGAGGGAGGATGTCGGTGTCCAGAGGGGTTCGGCAGGGTCCTTAGTGTCCGTGCGCGGGGCCGCCTGTCCCTCCAAGAACCCGTGTACCGAGCGGCCGGGTCACCCCGAGGGCCCGTGCGCGGGGCGGGGTCCGACACTCCGCCCTCGGGTGAGGTCCAAGACAGGAACCTCCCCCAGGGCTGCATCGGTGGCCTCAGTGGTCACCGAGTCCTGGAAATAAGCCTCCAGGCGATGTTCAGTTTCACTTAATACAAATGTAAAAGCCAGAGCAGTGCAGGTTTTTGGTGTAACAGATGAAAGCGCTGCTAAAGTCTGACCTGTGCTCTTCACGTTTTTAATGTGCTGCTAGGCAGTTTGGAAAAGGACCCTGCGGGCATCGTTTGCGCACCAGGCTCACCGCCCGGGCATCCGCAGGTGTGGTCACTGCACCTGACACTCCAAGAGGGGAAGAACGCCCTGGCCGAGTGGCTAAAGTGGTTGAGCGCCGGCGGAGCAAATCCAGTGCGGAACTAACGTTTGTTTCCCCGGTTTTAGCAGGAATTCAGTAGTCTTTTTGTTTTGTTCGCGGCACTGGGGATCTGAACTCAGGGCATACACCTTGAGCCACTCCGCCTCCCTTTTTTTCCGATGGGTTTTTTCCAGATAGGGACGCCGGCTACCCTGGAACAAGGATCCTTCTCATCTCTGCCTCCCGAGTAGTTAGGATTACTGGCGGGAGCCACCAGCGCCTGGCCCAGTAGTTTCTTTTTTTTAACCCTTTAGTTCAAAAACATATTTGGAATAGTTACATTCATAGAAAAGTTGCAAATAGGATCCTTTTTATTCCACCCCGTTTCCTCTAGAATTAACATATCACCCCCCTTCCTGTATACGTGTCACAATTAATGAACTGATATGGATACATTATTAAGTAGTGTCCTTGCTTCATTGAGATTTCTTCTGTCTTAACCTAGTGTCCTTCTTTCCAGGATCCCAAATGACCATAAGTCCTTATGTCTCTTTAGGCTCTTCTCAACTTTGGCAGTTTTTTCTTTCTTTTGGTGATACTGGGGTTTGAAGTCTTCCAGTTGCTGGGTGGTGAGCCATTAGAGCCAGCCCTTTTTGATGGTCATTATGGTTTTGAGGAGTGCCGATCCAATATTTTGTGGAAGGTCCCTCACTGGGATTTGTCTGTTTCTCTCATGGAGACATTCTCTTTTAGTAATTAATTATTTTTGTGGTACTGGGTTTGAACTTGGTGTCACGCCTGCTAGGCAGGCACCCTACCACTTTAGCCACTCCACCAGTCTGACATTCTCTTTTTAAAAAAGAATCAATGCATGGTTGTCTTTAGCGCGTTACTTCCTCACTATGGATTTTTATCCATCTAAAAAAGCTGTACACGTGGGGCATGGTGGTACAAATCTGTAATCCCAGCACTCGAGAGACTGAGGCAGGAGGATCATGTAGGCCATCCTGGACTACAGAATGAGTGCAATACCAGCCTGAGCTATATAGGGAAATCCTGCCTGAAAAAAACCAAACAAACTAACAAAAAAGGTAGTACAGTGTGTAGAACATTCACGCTGAGGTCAGGAAACTTGACTTTAGGTAGAACTAAAAATTGTCCAGCTTTACCTGACTGAAACTGATGTTTTGTATTTGTTTGGATTGATGGGAGATG